AAAATTGAAATATAAAATATTTTAAACACTGATTGAGAAACTGATTAAGCAATGAGGAGCTTTCAATTTGGTAAGATAAATATCATTCAGTTTATTCAGTTTGTCGGTAATTAAATATAAGCCGTAAGTACCTAATGCGAATTTTACGGCATAGTAAACCATTTTTCAATACTATTCTGAAAACAAAGAAACTGCCTTATGTGCAAGGCATAAAACGTGTGTTATGATAATGTTTATGCGCATAATATGTCCAACGTTGCAACGTATAAAAGTGGCCATCCGCGGTTTCGTTTAGAAGACGTAGCTCCGGAAACGTTATATTTTTGTTATTATTATTATTATTATACTTTATTATATCATTGCGATGTGTTCAACTTACTATACAACTTTTAAACTAACCTATGTAGAACGAGAAGATAAATATTGAATATTCAACGGAACGATAATGAAGGAAGCCCTTTGAATTATTAAAAACACCAAAATCGCCAACGTGGTAAAAACATCGTGTAAAGTCTGCTTGTTCTGTTATAATTTATTTATAAGCTGTCTGCGACACTTTTGGAGTAGTTCCGTGATCGTAACGCGTACATATAGGTATGATAATATATAAAATGTTCGTTGGCCATCGCCAAGTCAATTTACCGTTCGTTAGGCTAAATACGTATAATTTCTATATGAAAGACAACCGAATAAAATCGTAGTGTCCACGCCGGTGCCCCTCCGATCTTATGAATAATACAGTTTCTTTTGATGAAGGTGTGTTATTCTCGGTGACATGCACGGATATAAGTAGCTGACAAGCTCTACCGAAAAGTTCATTTTTTAAAAGTGAAAAACTAGTTTCGCGGGTACGTGTACGTCTCTGGGGACAATTATATCCCCATGCTCAGCAAACAAATCAATGCATATTTGAAGAAATGTAACTCTACATAACCGTATGTTATATTGTGTTTGTATTTTGTACAGCAGGTAGTAAAACTACTGTATGCTAGTATTGGTTGCATTTGTTTCCATATTTCTTTAGATTTAAAACAAATTCAATTTTTGATTTTTTTTAATTGAGTTAAGGTATACTAAAAATATAAAACCTGTAAAATGTACATTGTTATAAATGTCGAGTTTATCATAACTCATTTTTTATTATAGTAATTTAACTTATGTATTATTATGACTTTTATTACTGATTTTATTGATAGTAATTGGACCATCGACGTTAGTTGTCGTTTAATCGTGTACTATTTTAGTCAATTATTTTTATGATTTTGTAAATTTCTTTTAACATTTTTTCTATACCCATATAACGCAATTTTATATAGTACAAAAATAACGAATTAATTCATGTTTAGTTACCCATCTTTAATAAAAGGAAAGAAGAGTTATTCAAAGAATCAACTTTCCCGCATCCAAAGTTAACACTGTATGGTTCCGACCTGGGAAAAATGTAGGAATTCGTCTCTTTTTGTACTTACATTATTTTTGATATTAATTGATAATGTATAATTTGATCTTTTAGTTTGGTTAAGTACATTTTTTTAACTTAACGATATTAAAAGATTTATTTTAGGTAACTTTTAACTTCATTTTTTGCCCACAATTTAAACTTTAAAAGAACTGTTAACTTGTACAGCACAAATACAAGCCATGACCAAATAATTATTAATATATATTATAATTTAGTTTTTTTCATCCAGAAGAGAAGTATTGTCCCGCATTGACCGCATTTGCAATGGGAACGTTAGAAACTCTAAAAAAAAACTGGATAATAATACATGAGTATACTAAAAAAACTCAAAACACACATTTTAGTTATAATATCCCAGTCGTGTTCCCCGGATAAAACAGCTAGTCTCAAAGTAAATATAACATAATAAAGACTTGGAGCTGATCAATCACTGACGAAAAAAGTATTGATTTAGTGTGCAAGAATCAAAAGATTTTGAATGAAAGACCCATTATAGGTAACAATGGATCGCTGCTGATATGGAAAAAAATACAAAAATTGAAAGGGCTGATTTTATTAAATGATATACGCTCGAATAGAAAAATTCAAGGGATCCAATTTCGTCGAAATTACTATACCAACGAGCTCCTTCGCTTAAACGATAACGTCTATGTTTGACAATTGGTTGTGTGCTTTATTAATTTACATAACTATAGGTTATTGGATGAAAAAATTATTTTAAGGTCCCTATATCTTACATACTTTATGAGTTAAAATGCTGTAAAAAAAAATAGCTGTATACAGCTATCTTATTGATAAAATATTTACATTATTATATCTGTAACTTTTTTTTCCTTCGTTTCATAAAGAATTTATAATTTATAATTTGTTAATCAAAACAATGGATAAATGTAATACATGGTAAATAATAATTTGTGGAGGAAGCTGCTTACTAACGGCAGCTCAGTATTTAAAATTTTAAACGTTTGTTTTTGTACTAATTTATTTTTTTTATGACTGCTTCTTGCTAATTTTTTATTTCAATTCAGAGTAAATCTCTGGGCCAGTTGCGTATTCTGACGTTTAACATTTACAGAGAATGGTTGACGTATAATTGATGAATGGGTTTTTCTAGTCCGACAGTTTGAAGTGGAATATTCTGTATAATTGAGTCTTCGTGAGTTTGGAGACGGTGAATAGTTGGAGGTCTTTGTGGAGTGATTCGTTTGTAATAAACCAATGAGCTCCTGTTATTAGCGTAATGCTAATGGGCTGAGAAGCAATTGTAACTTACGAGTTTTAGTTTTCAAAAATAATAATTTTATTGTCAACATGAAATTGTAAATTGAGATTATTAGAATTTCTTGTACTTTATATTTAAATATTATAAACACAAATAAGTGTCTAAATTGAATCAGGATTATTATTATGTTGTCATAATACTATCACAAAATTCACAAAAAACATTTTATGTGAATGTTGATATTATTATATTATAGTTTATACACTTGACGTGTTCGGAAAAAGGTTTTGCTTGCTTGCGATTGGATAGGAAAATGTAATTATTCACGTTCCTTTACAGTTTAAACTAGTTAATCCCCATTAGACGAGCAGTACATAGTATAATAATATTATATGACAGAATTATTATTATTGTTAACGTCGCAATACGCAGAAAACCACTTTGACTACATTTAGGTACATTACGTTGGACATTTTCCTTATTAAAACCGTTTCGTAATCGTTTTCAATCTGTTAAAACTTAAAACCCCCTATTTAATTGGATTTATACGAATGGTGTTCATTTTTTGTGCAAACAAATTCCTGCAATGTCTTGGTCGAGGTGCCGCTTTACTGGACCGCAAAATCACTGCATATGGGTCACCTTTGGAATGGCTATTTATTTATTTATTTTTTAAGCCGCAAAATAAATAAATTATAAAAATACACAACGCAGATCTACATCGCGGAAAAGCATGGTAGGTATGCAAAACACAGAATGAAAGAAAATGAATTCCCAAGAGAGGATATCATATTATTATTGTAAAAGTATTATTTGGTGGATGAATTAATAATACGCTATATTATACGCCACGGTATACTGAGAAAAATTAATATTACTTTTATACGTACAGCTTGTTTTTACAGTAATATTATGATGCCGTTTATCGGCTAATTGAAAAATGAGAATTCTAAAAAATGTCATTCGTGAATCGTGCTCACACCGAGTGAAACGGTAAAACAAAAAAAAATTTAATCAAATCGAAAACCATAAACAATACACGACGATAGGCGTATATAATCAATAAGTCATTTGTGCCTTACAAACTATTTAGTTGAAATAATAGAAAAATAACCATGTTGTATTGTTCAACACACCTATATTAAATTGAATTGGTACCATAATTGACATTATCTATGTGTCAACCACTGGAGTTCGTCCTGGGAGACAGTTTTACTACAATACACTGTTTTCATCCGACGATGAATTTTTTTCAATTTATTTAGGAACGGTCGACAACTTTTATATGTATTGATATTTTACTATAGTTTTAGAACCAAATTTGAGATAACCAATGTTGTTAAAATATATCTATTATGAGCGTTCTTGTTATAATAATATTATTTAATTCTGAATTTTCATATTTTAATGAAAATTTTGTAAAATTGCTTTATTCAGCACAATATTACTACTAAATGTCTTATCAGCGTAAATATTCTATCTGGATAATAGATAATCCTCGAAAAATTTATAGGGTTGGAATATAATATTACATGAGGTCATATCATTATAGTAATAATCCATCTTTAACTTTTGAAACCCTCTACTGTTCCATTGTTAGACCTATATTCGAATATTATGTGTGTCTGTACTTTAGACCCGTATACTTCTTCTTACCGTCTTATGATTTAACGTGCCCAGATAATGTTTATTTCGTAATGCTTCCTTTATTCTAAATATTCCAGACTCTCTCCACTATCCATACGTTTCAATCAATCAAATGCTTGGCCTATCTCACGGGCAATTGCGAATTTCTGCACAAACTAATATCTAATTATATTGATTTCCCATATTTATTAGCCGGAGTTAGCTTCAAAATTCCTACACCCTCTACCAGAAACTCAGCTCCTTTTCATATTCAACTACGGTCTATATCCCTCTATGAGCCCAATTCTCCGTTTATTCTTGTTTTGGGGCTTGAGAAAAACATCAAACATTAGGAAGTAAACTGTTTCTATACTTATTTGTTTTTGCTATTTTAAAATATGTAACCATGTTATTGTCGAATATTTTAATCCTTATTGTTATCTAAATAAAATTATAAAAACAAAAGTTATTGTTATCTTATAGCTAGGCAGTTACTTGCAACATTATCATACAAATAATATTATAATTTTTATTGAGTATCCGATATCCCAGTGTTTTAATTCTTTAATTTGTTAACGAATGTAAAGTAAAAAGTAAATAAAAAAATACATTCTACGATAGCCAAGTGTGAAGGTACTATACTGTAATCGAAACCAACAAACGATGGTAATTTATCTGCTTTTGTTTCAGAGACAAGGATGTATCCACGGTGAAGAACTTCCGTACATATTCGGTGCCCCACTGGTAGGGGGATTGATGCATTTTCCGAGGAATTACACCAAGTCAGAAGTCCTGCTTTCCGAGGCTGCGGTTATTTACTGGAGCAATTTTGCACGGACGGGGTAATATATATTTTATTAGCATAAAATAAAAATAAGAGGGGCGGATAAAAAAATCCTAGTTCCCGTAAACAGTGTTTCCAACACTTTTTTTATTTTTATTATTATTTTATCCAATCTCCGCTCCGATAAGTAGGTCATATTATATTCTGTACGCGTTGATCTGCCCGCAGACAGTTTAATATTATTATTTACCAGCCGCCAGTCCGATGGTTTATAGGTATTTTTCATTTATTCGCTGCTCTTTTTTATTGCCATCGGAACGTGGTCTATGCACCGTGGCGCCTCAACACTACCGGCATAAACACGATCCAATGACTTTATCAGACGATTCGAATAGAATGCGTTTTAAGACTAATTCCTTTTCTTTATTTTTATTTCGCTTTTTACTGCTTTATATTATTATACGATAATAATTATTATTACAGCTGGTTTTTTTTTTAAAGTTATACCACAGTTGAAATCACGAGTTATATGACTGTTAGAAAAATAAGTGAATTAAAAAAAAGTATCGAAGTATCTATAAAACGAGTATCTACCTCATTGTTGAGTAAGTTACTGTATTGTATGATACCTTAAATTTAAATTCAATGATACACCATTGCATACGAAAAACGAATCAGGCAGGTCAGCCTATATTATTAGTATATATTTTGATGTAAAGTAATTTAATAAATTTACCATTAGTTACTATAACAGTAGGTTGATTTAATTGTTTTTATTAATATTATTTATTTTATATAAAATATTTGAAAACTACAGTCAACTTTTTTTCTGAATTCGTCTAATAACAACTTACAGGGAACCTTATATTAAATATTTAAGTATTTTGACCTAGTGAAATTTTCTATTAAACAAAATGTTCTAACCTTTTGGTAACCTTCGTTGCATAATAATCATATTAAAGTTTGTTGTTCAATTATTTTTCCAAATTATTTTAAAGAGTACTTTAAATTTTCTCATACCAATGAATAACTCGATACCAATTAAAATATTTTTTTAATTGTACCATATTATGTATAATAATATTGTAATATAAACATTTGGTGTAAATGTCAAGTATCTATTGTTATTTGTTTATGAATGACAACAGGATAAGAAAATCGATTTTGTCAAAAGCTGAAACTGGTTTTGTGTAAAAATTCTCGTTTCCCATGCTTTTTTTTTTGTTGTTGTTTTTTCAAACAAATAACTTTGTAGTATATTAACTGCCACCAATAAATATTTATGTTTTGAGCGATTATAATATACGGATTATACATTTGGTAGGCTGGTAAACATACCAGAACAACAAAAAAACCCTTTATGGTAATGCTTTTGTGTAATTTTTAGTAATCCCAATGAGCCGCAGGACCAGGACATGTTGCACAAACAAGAACACGGTCGGTTTAAGAATATCGAATGGACTGCGTACGAGACCGTACATAAAAAATATTTAAGTTTAGGTACAGTATAATATCGTAGTATATTATATTATTATGATTATGATTATTATGATTGTAACATTGTTGGTTGGCAACTAACAAGTTGAAAGATAAAAGTTAAGTTACATAACGAGTTACCTTTGTCTTTAAAGTAACTTCTAACTTAACAAGTTAATTTTTTTCCCATATTATGATATGACTTATGATTGAACTAATTTTATTGTCACCTTAATTTGTACATTCTAATAACAAATTCGATTATTATAATTTATTATAGTTTTGAGAAATTAGGTACATAAATATATAAAAATAAAACTTACGATCATTCATTTTAACGCACACACACTTCTTTAAAAGTGTAATGCTAAATTAAATTAAATAACTATTTTATTGTTAACTGATAAAAAAAGTGTAATTTTTGATTTTATACGAAAAAAAGTTACTGATTTTCAACTAATTTAAGCCACTTTTATTTTCTAGTAAACTTGTTAATTATACAAGTTCAAAAAAAAAAAAAAGTAACTTCTATCTATTAACTTAATTCACATTTCTATACTTAAACTTAACTCAACAAGTTTTAAAAAAAAAAATTAGTGAACTTACCCATCCTTGGCAATTTAATACACAGTCGTATTAAATACGATGTAGTATATCTAAAATATGATGGAACAATATTATAGCGCGCGATGTGAGTAGAGTAAATCGCATTATGGTTAATGTATAATAATTGAATGTATTTTCAGATACGAAGCCCAAATTGAAAAGCCATTACCGAGCTCATAGACTGTCGTTTTGGTTGAATTTAGTTCCCGAACTGCACAAGCCCGGCGACGACGTACCTTATTATCATCATATGTTCCAATCCGATCTACGCGGAATGACGTTTAAACCCGTAAGTTCCCGGCCAATATTATTTTATAAATACCATTGGAATAATAACACCCTTAATGTATGTAGGTTTTCTATTTCCTAACCTTCGTTAAAAAAAAATTAATAATTATTTGTACGCCACACAAGGAGATTCATTTAACTGTATACACTCATTATTTTGGAGTCTTACATTTTTTGAAAAATATATTTATTTTACCCAATTCCTTGTCCTTGATTAGGCAAAATTGTTAAGAAAAATGTATCCCTATCATTTTTTTAAGTGTTGCAAATTGATTAACATCTAAACTTTAAAACTTTAAATACCTAGTTACACTTTTAGACTTCTCGTTTGCAATTCTTTTCGTACATTGAATTATCTACTCGAAAAAATTGTCAGCTTTGCCATTCGAAATTTGACATGAATATGCTGCTTTTTAAAAAAGTGAAAAGTTATAACAAGACACAATTGTTGTGAAAAACATAATTTTTTTCAAAAGTATCGTTTTAGTATGACAACAATACAATTTTTATTAAATTAATATTTTCAAAAGAAATAAAACTTTTTGAATGAATGATTGTGTATAAACACTTAAATAGATCACTTTGTACTTTGAAAATGTACTTCTGCCGACAGCAAGAAAATAATCCTTTATTTAGTGTCATCCTTCTGATGCAGGGGTGGTTGAGGACGGGACGAGTGTGAAGCGTGACAAAAACTATGGACGATTACATGCCGATAAACATTTTTTTTTTTTTTTGGCGAGTCTGCGAGTTCGGCACTTATTCCTTTCGGTCCTCGCGGAACAGTGTATTGATTAATCTGCCGGGCGGTGGGTAATATCCCGACTCCTCCAATGGACGATTCCACATCGAGCATTAGGAAATGCATTACCTTTGGCGTTTCGGTGCACCTGGTAACTGCGAAAAATAATAATAAATTCATTTTTTTCCGACACGGTTTTCTTTATAATTAACGTCTATAAATTATCTCGGCGCTGTGTATACTCGCACCTAATATCAAAATATTACAGTTCAACATTATGCTGGTGGTGAGCAACCTATAACAATTGTAAAACGTTTTGACTGGTGAATTTGAGCGGTGTGCGATTAAAAAATAAAAAACAATACACCTATGTTAAGCGGCGGTCGAAGGAAAATTAATTGAGAAAAACGAGTTGACATTTACTAAGTCACCGGCCACCAAAGTTTTAAGAATTTTGCGGCTTCTCTAATTTATTATTATGAATCTACCGAACGCTCCAGCTCGAACTATAAATAATAAGAGGTCCCACAGAAGGTTTATATACTTGTCGTAAATTATGTTTGTTTAGAAATGTTTGCAACGACTGAATGTGAAAGTTAGTTTTGTAAGCTTCAATGGCATACATTCTTAGGGTTAAGTGAACTTACTTTTGAATAAAGACCCAGAAGTATTTTACCGAATATACAAGTAATAAACTAAATACCGTATATAATCATTAACATTCATAAATTGTTCAGATTGCGATTATTATGGACCTCTGAATACATTTCATTTCAAACTTCAATTATTAACTTATTTAAATGGAAAATCACATTTTCGACGAAACTGTTATTAACAGATGCATTTTATTATTAATAACTACAACAATATTTCATAAATCTAATTTAATATGTTTTTGTACAAAAAAATACAATGTTTTAAAAACAAAACAGGTAACAACATTGTAATTTATAATAAACATAATTAAGTAAGTATATTTACTGGATTTAAACTACATTAAACCTTATTCGTTATATTTTATTACATTAAGTTAATTAACAAATAGTTATAAAAAAAATAATAATCTTTTTAACATGGATTTGCGTTTACCTGTTACCAATTTAAAATTATATTTACAGCGATTGAATAACATTTCAAATCGAGTTTAAACTATTAAAAACATCATATAAAATAAATGATTTAATGAAACGTTGTGAAAAATTGAATCGATTAATGAACAACCTTTAAAATTGAATTTGCTCTGACGTGTACGTTAAATGAAAATATTTTCGAACCGTTCTATGGATAAAATAAAATCATTACTCCTGTTAACTTCACTGTTTTATGTTCCATATAAAACTATAGTATAAACTAAGTCCATTAGAAAAGGTACTTCGAATGGTATTGGCATGCAAACCAATCACGATCACGAAGTCGTTCATAGTTGTTTATTTTGCGATGGCCTAAGTTACGCTGTTTTTTTTAAATTTTTAGTTGTGGGTATTTAAAAAAAAAATTAAATACCAAGTCAAGAATCAAGAAATATATATAATTTTTATGACATTTTAGATATTTTAATCGTAAATTACGATACCTTTTTATTTTGAAATCATACTATATATTCGCGTTTTAAGCGTTAATTTTAATTTATTGTAATTTTGTACCTGGGGATTCGTATGTTTGTATTATTCATTTTGATTGGTCTTTAAAAATATATTTATCTCAATAAGTTGTACATTTTTAATAGGGATATTTCAAAATAAAATCAGAAGTGCATTTCGAAAATTCCAAATAGTCTATTAAATCAAGTATTTTTAAATTATACTGACGTTTAGCAATTAGCACAATTCATTAGTAGTGATAGGTACTTAACGCTATTCGATCATTGAAACATTATAAAAACTGTGCTGTTTTTTTAATAAACAAAACTTTATATGAGCATCATCTGAAGAACCCAAATAATAATATGTTTTATAGGTCTCTTTTTAAAATTAAGCTACATTATACATAATAATATTATGTATAATTTAACATTTGTAAATACATTTTTATTCGATGTAATTTAAATATTATTCTTGTTGTATAATATAGTATTTAGTATAAAAATATGTTGAATTCAAACTCAAATGTATACACATCATATTATATAATAATACAGGGCGAATGAATCATATTCATATTACAGTGACTTGTGTAAATAGTATTAAAGTGTATGGGTTTCTACAATGTGACTTTTGTCTTTTGTTGTGTCGGTGTTTGTAACACCATTGGATCCATTTGTTGTATTGTCTCAAAAAATGCACGTTTCTGTTACTCTAAATATGGTAACACGGCGTGATGGATATGCAATTTCACTACACTTCACTGTTTTCTCGGATTCAGATTTTTCGAAATAATATCAATACTGTTATAAATTAAAATAACAATATTTCGATTGTTTAGTATTTGTAACGGATAGTCATGACTATTATCCAAACACGTATTCCATATACGATCACTTAACAAATTATTAATAATTATGAATTTTTGAAAACGCGTGGAAGACAAAATCGACTACTATTTGAAATTGTCTGTTCTTCTAAAATAATTTCTACACTACTTTAAATTTGATAATAAGACGAATAATAATTATAAAAATTGTTTTCGTTTATCCTCGATTGCAGGGTTCCGAAAGAACAACGAACAGACCGACACCGGACGTTTACTACCGGGGCTCAGGTCAGCCACCGTCCATAATGCAACAGCCCACGACTGGCAATAAGACCACTTCCGGGTCTTCCGACAGCGGTACGGCCAACGGGACGAACGTGCTACAACCTCCACCGGTGGTGGTGGCGTCTTCCTCTTCTTCAGATCGCGGGGATGGCGATAACGACGACGGCGGTGGTAATGGAGGCAGACAGCTCAAAAACGGGCCAGGTGGCGACAAAGACGACGGAGAGGGTGGCAGTCGATCGTCTTCGGATTCCGACGGCCAGGACGACTTAAATGGTGGTGGCGGTGGAGGCGGAGCAGCTTATCAGACATTTCCGTTGGCCTTGGCAGTGGCCATAGGCATTGGCTGTTCGCTGTTGTTCCTCAACATAATGATTTTCGCGGTGATTTACTGCAACAAGTCAGCCGGTTGGGGTGGCAGGCGGGGCAGCAGCACCAGCAGCCGGCGGACTTCCGGTGCCGGAGGAGATGCCGAGGACTTGCAGCAGCAGCAGGACGACCGGATCAGGAAGATCAAAAAACGTCCCGAGAACGGAGGTCCGATGACTAATCTGTGTTCTACAGGAGGTAACTAACTTGATCGCCAAACCATAATATATAATATGCAAATAGTGTAGTTAAATGTGCTATGAAATGCAATAAAAATTAAACAAACCATTTTAATATTTAGAATTCAAGTTTCATTTTTTCTTAGGAAACGAATTTTTATGACTATTGAATGCTATTTTCCAATACGAAATTTGTTTCAAGATAGTTGGGAAAGTAATTACAAATGTTCACACACACTTCTACAATTAATTTAGTAAAATTAAAAAAAAGTATTTGAAAAGTATTTAAATGCACGCCAAGTATTTGTAGTATTTGTTCTTAAATACTTTTTATAAAATTATTTGATATGTTTTTAAATACTTTCTGAATGGATGTATTGGTATCTGTGTTTAAATAGAATTTTAAAAGTATTTTTTACAATACTAAAAATAATAGAAGTCGAATCACAGAGATCCAAATATTCAGATAACTACATTCACGCACCAGCCATAATAATTATTATTTGTCCTCAAATTTGATACCAACTGACTAGATTCGACTTTTGCTTATAATTTTCAAAACTAGTCACTGCCGTGTTGTCATATTAATGCAGCAGCTGCTTGTTAGCACATCCAAATAATATGATGACGCCACTCTTTTTATCCTTGTAATTTCACCCCTCGCCCATCGTGTCTTTTTACTCGTTTTGTATTAATAAAACACTCTTGACCTAGCCCGTTTTTTTTCTCTCCACTGCGTATTATTTCATGCATGCGTTATCTTTGTTTTACAGCTTATAAAACCTCGAGTTCTTAAAGTCCAGCGCGCTCGATGTCCGAGCTTCCATCCTCTTCCCATCTTTTAATCGTTACTTATACAATGACGACGATGACGAAGATGCAAATGCGACGTTTTGTTAGCCCCGTAAATCATTATTCCTTATTATTTTCATATTATTATGTCAATGGCGAAATGACGTCTGAGACTATATAAAAATTTTATCAACCACGAAAAACTATAGGTGTAACAAAACTTACATTGAAAAAATACAGTTCTAACGGTTATAAAACGAACGTCTCGTTAAAATGGTTGTGACAATTTAAAAAAAAAAACGTCAGTCGTTATCGTATGATATACGTATTATATCATCGTTTTTAAGTACTTTAATAACATAGAAAGAGGGTTTAGGGATAAATTGCTTACATTCACAGTCTCCGTAAAGTGAACGACTCTCTTAGTTTTAATGTATAATGGACAAACTAAAACTTTTGCACTAATAGGTCTTTTGAAATATATTTGCAACCATAATCGTGAATATTATGTAATTATTTCGATACATATTATTATTTGTTATAGTTTAGGAATACTAATATTATTCAACTGTATGCACAAGAATTAAACTCAATAAATCATAATAATAATAATAATAATAATAATCCTATCAATTGATAACCCAATTGGAACACTTCCAAAAAATAATAATAATGATAACAATAAATTTAAAAAAAACATTAAAAACTAGACAACGGTTAGAACCTAAAGCTTATAATAAAATAAAAATAAAAACATTATGTGTTTTTTTTTTTTTGAACGATAGATAAAGCGAACGTTACTTTTATGACTTCTTTAAAAGAAGACAAAATAGAGATATTTGGAATGAAAACGTGAAAGTAGTTGATAATAAAAGTTTTTAATAAGTGTGCACAATTTTATTACGATTTAAAAAAAGTGTTTAGGTACAGAGTTTTACGATTGTAGGTGGGTACTAACAAAACAAATTAACAAAAAAAAAATAAAAATAAACATAACATCCAGAATATAATGATTAAATCGACATGGAATTAAATAAAATTAATGATTCGATTTATATAAGATTTTTACATTTACAATCTTTCAAATTTGAATCATTATAATATTAACTACATACAAGCAGACATAAATTTTAGCTTATTAGAATGAAATAGTTATTGCCATAATATGTTATTGATATAAACATGTTAATATTCAATGTATTATTCAATTTGTGTACGGTTGTTTAAAATTGCATAACATTTTAAAACTTTCAGATTCTCAGTGTCAAGACAAAAATCATATAATTGATTTTTCCATAATTTATTTATACATAAATCATCATAGGCATATTTAATAGGTTTACTTCATATTTAAAAAAACAATGTTCGTTATTACTAGAAAAAAAATACAACTAAAACAATTTTAATTAAAATTGTTTTCATAACGATAATAGCTTTCTGATTTAGAATGACAACTCGCTAGTCCCAGTGGACAAATTTTAAAAATAATTAATTTAACCCTGAATGTAGTTCATTTATTTCAAACTAGAAAACTCGTTCAATCTAAAAATGTAAATTTTCGGGAACACACAATTTTTCGGAAATTAATTTAATAATGATGAAGGTATATTATATTTAACCTAAATGAAATATAAATAAATTGAGGAGGGACTCTGTAAAACTTTTCATTTTTTTCATTTAATTAAAATCTAAAAACGATGATATATTTTGTTAAGTATCCACTATAACAGATTAAGAGATACATGATAAATAAAAATAAAAACCAACATTAGGCTGTTAAAATAAACAAATTTAAATAATTTGAAAATTAATTAAAAATAATATACAATACTATAATAATGAATTGTCTGCATTGACTCAAGTTTTTTGCATAATATGTAGACGACGATTTAAAGTTCCTTTAAACAATAAATTGAACTATAGGATGACAAATTCTAGTATAGTTATAATTATTTTTTTTTTTCTCTCGAACATGCGATATTTTATTACAATAATATAATTGTGCAGGTAGGTATAACATCCGTTGACGCGTATTATACTAATAATTAACATTTGTGCCACGGTATAACAACAATATTACAATTTGCGAGTTTCTTATACGCGAAACAAATAATATGAACAAATTTCATTTCACCAAGAACAATTTCTTTATTTTTATTACGTATATATATACACAACGCGTATATATATTTTGTTTAGTGCGCTCTCTATGACGTGTACAGTTAACAGCACACTGCAGTATTTTCTTTTCTTTTTATACGAGATAATAAATTAGTCGAGTTAGGTAGAATAGCCACTAAAAAATATATACGTATATATGAAATAAAAATAAAAAAACCAACTTTCGTCAAGATTTATAGTTTTACAGTTCCGTTTGTATATGAATATAATATAGGTAGGTAAAAGGAAAGCGAGCGGCAACACCGGAGTCGAACAGAAACCTCGCGAGATGTAAGCGATATAGCACAATATTATTAGCATTATTATTATTATTATTATTATTATTATTATTATTATTATTATGTGTACGATTAGGATTATCTTTTATTCTGTTGCCGAGATCCGGTTTTTAGTTTTTTAGTTTGACGACGTCTTACAGTAAGCACGCAGCGGATTCAGCTATCCCTGTTATTTAAAGCTGTAAAACGCATGAATCGTACTCCATAATATAGCTGCGAACCGTACTCATAATATCCTTGCGAATCGTATTCACAATATCGTTGCGAATCGTACTTGTAATATCCTCGCAAATCGTCATCTGGTCGGCCGATCAATACTGCACTTGCCCAATATCCCGGGACCCCAGGACACGTGTATTATACGACTTATATCTGCAGCTGTATCACCGTTTGCGGTTAATCCTTAGACCTAAAACTAATAGACGAAGCATATATTATGGCCGGCGGGGTTGGGTATGGTGCGGTTACAGCAAATATTGCGTTACAGTGATGTATTATTGTCAATGTAGGTAACGAAAACGTTGAAATCAGAAACCAGACAAGTTGCTATGTACCTAGTGAGACTAAATACAAGTTTATACATAATATTCGTTAATTTTTTTGAATTTCTCTGAAAACTTCTAAGAAATATTCGTCAACATGACATATCATACGAAGTTTACGTATTCATGCTGTTTTGGTTTTTATCTATGGCCAATCTGGTATGGTCTACGCACATGCGCAGAAGACATGTGGGATATCACAATCAACATTCACGTTCATTGCAGGAACTACAACCATGATCCGTCTATTAGTGGTGGGAGGGGTGCGTAGGCGGAAAGAGCTACTCTGCTATTTAAATTTTTTTTTGTTGCCCACACCAACTATTTTTTTTTTACTTTGACTTGAACGGGAGGCTGATAGCACGGACAATAATGACCGAAATAATTTTCATTAAGATGCGAAGTGGATTTAAACAGGTTTTAATGATATACTTATTGTATTTTACACTCTTTAATAAGAACCAAAATTATTTTTATCTTTTCAATGGCTTAGACAATCTAGTATCTTGCTATTTGTATAATAGTTTGTTTATGTTATATCACTCTTGATCTTTGTCTAGTACAGTACTTACTTAGTGCACACGTGTGCACAATAAACTATTATATTATCAGATATCCGAGGACTGGTGTTTACAATATTATTCGTATGTGCGTCTGAACCATGAATTAAGATAATATTATTAGCACTGATAATTATAAGGTTCTTTTTATATTTTCAACCGAAACATGTAGGGATTGTTGGTATTAAAATGGGAATCAAAATAATATTTAAAAAATGTCTTAAACTCTTAAGTAAATTAATGTATAAAATGTATTTGGAAAAAGTTTTGAAAAATAAGGTGAGTATAAATCCACATTCACTTACATGTTACATGTATTATATTTGGAATATAATAAAAGTAAAATTCTGAAACCAAGCCGAATGTAGTGTTCAAAATTTATGAATGTGGATACTTGGGGTCAAAGGCCCCCGCAGATCTGGTTAAATAATTGTTCACTTATAACGCAGTTTTTAAATCGTTGGATTGAGTTCCTTTACTTAATAATTCCCGTTTCAATCACTGGATTTAGCACACATTCACCTACGAGTTATCTGTGGTATAATACGATTTTCCACAAACACTTCGGGGAAAGGCATAGCGGCCAAAGAGTATACGTCGTCGACTAGTTCCGAAAACTGGACCGGTCAACCGCGATAAATAACATAGGTACGCAGGGTCGTGCTCACCATCCATCACTATATATATGTCGTCATGATCTATTATAATATTATATTATACTGGCTTCCATCCACGTTTTTCCTGAGCAACAGTCACGTCTATTTGAATGCACGATAGGAATATCAAAGTTGTTCAACTTTCAAAACGCCTCTGTCCGAAATGAATTTACGAGTTGGCCGTCTCGGATTTTAATTATAATTGAGAAAAAATAAATATTTTTTTTTTTATCTCAAACTTATTTAGGGACTAACAATAACGTTTTTAATTGTGATGCTCCAATACGGAAGTAATTTTTCCGTAATCGTACTGCAAAATGATCGTTATGAAATAGGTATCTAGACGTATTGTCCGAAAACACAGTGTATGATATCATTATTGTCACATTGTGTAACATCCTACGTCGTTTTCACTTCGGTTTTATTTAACTCCATTAAATTTTATCGGATCCAAAATGTTGTATAATATCATGTATATGATCGTGATTTAAAAAAATACCGAACTAAACAGTCAAGCCCATGGAAATAACTAATATAAAATCCTCGTCCGATAGATTTCAAGAATCAAAGGCTGAAGTATATTCAAGTACGCTTGATTATTACTCTTTGTTTAAAATTAGAAATCATCAGAGCTATCGGATATCATCGTGATGAAAAAAATATTAGTTGTATGCCAAAATTGTAATATAATATCGTTAATAGTTCGTGTTTGATAAGTATAAGTTCTACTTCAAAACGAGTGAACCATTCAGTACGCTAAAATCTTTCATTTGAACCCATCCTTTGAATAACAATCTCAGATTTATAAAATAAACGAATCCATCCGAACGCACTTGACTGGCCAGGAGACAGTGTAAACTCCAATCCGAAAATTTATTATGCTGACGAAAGAGACAGTGGTATATAAAATATAAAAAAACAATTTCGGTTTTTTTCTAATGAAAACCACGCAAAAAGCCCAAAACATATTACATATTATATGATATATTCTATGACCATTACATGACTCCAATTTTTACATTCGATTGTTTATCTTACATAATAATATTGTCATCGATTCACCTCCAGTGCTGATCACGATTGGGTACATCTAATAATAAGTACGAATGAAATGAACGGGATAGCGGTAAATTACTATGAGTTTGGATATCTACCATAATGTCTTTGAACGTGGGTGTTGAAAAGAGGTTCAAATTCAGATTTTAAGTTTTAATTTATAAAATACCACTCATTTTTGGTAAAAATATACCAGCAGAATTAAAATATGATGTTTGAATCAATTTTTTGGGGGGCTGTAAAATCACACCTTTTTTATATTAGAATGCATTATTATTTAATTAAAACCGAAAGACAGCTAAACAGACAGGTAAATGCGTCAAGTACACCTTTACCTGGCTTATCATTCGGGGTAATTATTGCTCTAACGACATGATCATGTTCTAGGCGCCACTGAGTTGTTGCAAATGATGGAGACGCGGCCGGTGACGCAACACCTGCAGCAACACCAGCACCAACAGCAACACCAACAACCGCATTCAATACTAAAGAAACCTCCAGTTCCTGTAACCACTGCGGTCGTCCCGAACGGCCCTCAGCCTCCGACCGACGCGGGCGGTGTGTGCGGGCCCGTGGTCGCGGGCGCTGTGTCCAGGGGGGCCGCGCAACCGCCGCCGGCCGAATTCGCCGACGTCGCGGCCCAGTGCTATCACCCGGGCGGCAGCATCGTGGGCATTGGCACGTCCTCCACGCTGCCCCGGCCACCGCCGCCGCCAAAGTGCCCGCGGCCGGATCACCATCACCATCACCACGGCAGCGGCGGGGGCCATCACCACCAGCAGCATCTACACGGGACCATCAGGAGACACGCGGCCGCTTCGTCCGCGCTGCCGGCCTGCACGTGTTCCGGCCCGGTGGCCGCTGGCGTCGGTCCCGCGCCGCTGCCACCGCAACACCAGCATCACCCGCACGCGTCTTCGTCCAACCTGACCGTGGACGCGGCCACGGAGCCGTGCACCAAGGCGACGGCCGTTGAGGAATTGCACGTGTGACAGTCGAACCGCGGCCACCGCCGGTCGTCCGACACGGAAATTGACCGGTTGGCCAACGACCTGACCAGGATATGCGACCAGCTTCGCGAGTCGTCTGGCGGCGGCGTCAGCGATGGCGATGGTAATGGCGGCGGCGGCGGCGGCAGCGACTTGTTCTACTTATGACATTACTTGACGTTCGACGAGTGGCAAACCCGCGCGAAAGCGCACACACGAAACGACACCCACTAAAGATGTCTCTGTACATATTATTATTCTAATATTATATATTATTACGTGTAATTCATAATGATGTTGACATTGTATAATTATATCTTTAAAATAAAAAACTAATGTTTCCTCGGTTGTTCCCCAACGGATTCTCAGTGAAATCACCCCATCACCCGTGCATCGTCCCTCTCGCCATCGACGTCCCCATCTTCAAACTTACATTGCTATCGTTGGAATTATTATTATTATTATTATTATTATTATTATTATTATTATTATAATTATTGTCTATGATCGATATTTTAAACGGTTATTGTTGAATCGGTTTTTTTGTTTACGTGAAATGTTGTTAGTGTTATTTGTATTACTATTGTTATTCCGTTGGTCGTTAATAATTTTAGTTACCAAAAATTCTGTTGAATTCGTGTTATAATTACTGTGGTTATACACGTCGATGCATTTTGATGAAATCTTCTTTTTCCAATGACAATAATATTTGATTTTCCAACAACCCTACAATATCGTACATCACTGAAAGGTACATTAAATTATCATTATTATTGAATCTATCAAAAATAAATATAAAAGCTCTAATTAAACGGAAACACCGTGAATAATATTATGCATCTACAGGAGACGGATATACGTCATTGGTGTATAGCCTCGAATGTGCTGTAAAAATTAATCTTACACTTCTCGTGACGCATGTTGTATTAATTCATTATTTATTAAAATAGAAAATGTCTTATCTTTAAACCGGTCCTGACTCATAAATTTCACTTGTATTAATTAGGGACCGTTCCTTTCGTCTTTAAAGACCCATCGATTTCAGCGTTATGTTGGATCAGACATAAACAGTTCAAAATAGTGTTTATAATTTAACAACAGTTGTTCGAATTGCGCGTTACCGGACAATTAAATTGTAATTTTACCAAAAGTATACAATTTCGACATTTTGAAATTCAATTCGATGACGGCTACTTTAAACGATAGTTATAAAATGTTTCAAGGTGGGTGGTACTAAAAAAAATCAAAACAAGATAAAAACTGCGTTCTGGAATAAAGTTTGTAACTCTGTGTAGCCAAACCTGGTACAAAATTTATTTTTTGTTAAAAGTTTACCGACACGAGACAGAAACAAACAATTTATTTTATTCGGATCTTGTTATTATGCATATCGAAAAAGTTTAAAAATAAATAAATAAAATGAAAAAAAATAAATAATGATTTGTCCCAAACCGATGCAAATTTAGTTTTCCTCAACTGTATACGATACATAATAAAGTATTGCATAATACAGTATTTTCATAAGTAAACAGTATAGTTTGTTGTCAGAATAAAAACGTCATTGGAAATAGGAAAACGCCTTCACCCGAGTCAAACATTGCTCACAAAAACCGTGAAATATTGATTAAATATTATTTAATATTATAAGATTAAAATATATTAAATGTGTGTATTGATGTTGTAACGATATAATGTGCATTAGAAAAATAAACTATGTAAAAGCGGTACTGCCACGGTTAATGGTGTACACTTGTAATCCCAATAAGTCCCCCTATTCAAGTCAATTGAGACCGAAAAATAAATAAAAACACATGATTGTATAATAATATAATACTATAATATAGATATCGATGTTCCGCCGAAAGAACGATGAGTTTCGGGTCACCAGCTCACTAGAAAATTATGTTATTCTTGTTGATGGAATTTTTAAAATATGTCAACAACAGTAAAATATTATTAAAACTTAAACTCGGGGCACGATAATTTAAAAAATTCTAAAGACAACCCAGGTCCATTTTGGAAGACAAAGACAGAGATATTATATTAATAATATGTTGACTGCGTTGGTACATTGGTCGTTGCGGAAGCGTTTAACTTCACGGTATCATCAAAATTGTTGTCATATAATTAATTAATTTTTATGAACATTTTTATACAATTCTCTTTAAAAAATGCAGTACAACGTGGTTCCCATTCAAAGCTCATAATATTTTGATGAACTATAATAATAACAAACACTCTCCGACAGTAAACCGTTTATAGTCAATCGATTTTCTACTCTGCTTCTCAAAAATATCTATAAATCACTTGAGACAAGTATCGTAATACAATATGTAATAGACTAATAATAATTAAGAAAACAATAAGTAATGAGTATTAGTTTTATTATTTAAACTCACCGGTCGACCGCGGAACGACCTCTAACATATTATTATTATTATCATATTAATTTGTTGTAAAGGGGTACCTATATATAAGAGTTACCAAAACCTCATAATAAAATAAAACGATATTTTGTGTACTCGCCAATTTGTGTGTACATTAATATTACCATATAACATACTATTATTATCGTATTTGAATAGTAAAAAAATGAATGTGCGTACAATGTACATATTTATGTATTTTATATATATATAATATTATACAATATAATTTACTATTGTTACAAATTAAATACATACCTTCCGTAGGTATACCATTTGTCAGATGTTTTATTAAATGTATTTTTTTTCCACACAAGCTTACCCACCTATTATATTATATTATATTATATCATATTATATTATAATTTGTCGAGACCCATATTAGGTATGCGAAATCATAAGGAAGAAGAAAGACTTGTCAAACAAACAGTAAACATCCACATTAAAATGTACCTATACGTTATTATTATTAGCTGATTAGATTTTTTAATAACTCTCATCTTAAATTATATAGTAAAATTATTAAACAATAATATTTATACAATATTCTAAACATTCATGTTTTCTGTGAGAATTCATAACAGGCCACTGTTTATGTTGTTACATAACTATTGTTCATAACGAAATAGTTTAAAATTTATATAGTCTCTGGCAACCAGAATATGTTATAAACCTCCTACGAACCTTTAAACAAATAGCGACACATTACGATTATTATTATTTTGAATATTTGGATATTATCCCTTTGTTGTTCAACCATATTGTTTAATAATGGTTAAATATATATATTTATATTAAAATAATTATTAGGTAATAATGTCCATGATTATATTTTTAGTCTATTGTTTCCATTAATATTGTACAGGTACGAGTTCTTTTGTATAAACATTATTTTTTATTAATGCATTTTAACAAATAAGATCATTGTGAAATAAGAAACAAAATTATTGTGTTTTGTTAATAAACTGAATTATTACTTGATGTTGACATTACTGTAGATATATGTTTCCTGTAATACACACAATAATATTGCATACCATGACAATTATTATAGTTTTTCTGACGATCAAATATTATTTCAAAACCAAATAAAAATATCTTATTGAAATTTACAAAAAAATATTACAGCACCACGTTTTGTATGTTATGCGTTAATAAATAAAAAGTTTTCAGATGAATAAAACATCTAGTGAACAAGATTCATATTCATACATAACACACGTTATTGATTTTTAATTACTTTATGTAATGTAAACTTAAAATATTTCTGATAAATGTGAAAATATATGACAGTCCAACACATTATATTAGTACTAATGTAAAATATTTCAAAAAAAAGTGTTTATGACAGACCATTTTTTTTATTATGCCTATTATGTAGAAATAGAAATAATGTAAAGCCAAAGAAAAACAGAAATTCAATATTCCAAAAATGATTTTTTTTCAATCATACAATCAGTTGCAAAGAGGAATTTATTTTAATAGAAATAAAATGGAACTGAATATATCTAAGACCATAAACTTTAATTCTCTCATATTATAATAAGCTAGCACTCTTTGCATAACATGGATAGGTTCAAGATTCATTGGAACTGAATACTGAATAGTGTAAAGCTTAATCATAACTAACTATATTCAATTAACCAGGGATTATGACAAACAACCATTTTGATGTTTACAGACTGTATATGCTATGATTTATATATGTACCTATGCAACAGATGTATTGTTTTCGACTTCAGCAAACCCAAATAATGTCCTCTAGAGAATAGTTAAAATTTTGAATAGATCGAAATTCCTATATTGACATAAATAATGTTATTTCCAAGTAATTTCAAGACTGACGTGGAAAAGTTTCACATCAATTCGCAGCCATACATTTCTAAAACTCCACCAGGATAACAATCTAATCACAACTTTATGATACATTAGGTATTACGACGTAAATAAAGTTTGTGTAGATTTTATCTTATTGTCTGTTTGAGTATAGAGAAACTTATTTTGAGAAATATTTTTAAAACACAAAAATAACTTATTCATGAATTATGCTGAACGATAAGTCCTTTAGTGAATTGTTTTCGAGTGAACATATTTGTCACGTTTGGAGGTAAAATAAAATTTGATAATATTTAATTTTCTTAGTATAATAATAATATAATACGGCATTTTTTTTTAGCTGATGGTTTATATTCTTTTGATATACAATATAGTTATTTACTGTTTATCATTTTTGTTTATATTGAATGCTATATAAATATTTTTATTTTAAACATATGTAAACCCAATGTCCTATGTTGCCGATGGCTTTTTTTTTAAATTTAAAAAAAAATGTTTATTAGGTTATATTTTAGGTAGAAATGAAAATTAACGATTGAAAAGTTCAAACAGAACTTAATAGGATTTTACCGATTTTAGGTTTATAGCTTTAATGTTTCTTATGATGAATAATATGTACACATACACAAGTTAAATATAAAGCACATAACTTTGTTAGTTTTTTTTACCTTTAAATATGCACATTATTGTACATATTCATAATGGCATCATAGACCATTGTGAAATTGAACAAATGCTTATATAATTATAAATTATTTATAAATTCATTGTTATGAACTTGTGAATGACTGTAAATATTTTATAAAATATTGAAAGTCACGCACTAAATTATACATCGGTAATATATCATCATTCATCACAAACAAAAATCAAAAGTTCTGGTGGATTCTGTCAGTATAATATGTATGCACTTTGTTTAATATCTACAGAAACATATTTACGCACTTATCTTAAGAAACGTAAAATGGTCAATATTAGGTATTATAAACTTTGTATAATATGTATTATGTACACAATAAACGATAGGACCGGGGGAGAAACAATGCCGACAGCAGTTTCTCCCTCGGTTCTCAATAACCAGAAAAAATAAGAAGAAAAAAAACAAAGGTATTATAGACTTATATCAGTCAATATTATATTCTACTCAACACTGTAATGACTAATTTATGATATTCAAGTTATTGCACAACAAAACTTTAGAACTATATATCATATTAATAACATTTAATTCTTGAATGAAAGACAATTTCTGTGTGTGGTTGTGATTTATAGATCCCAAAAACTATAGATATGATGATAATAACATTTTCATAGCAAAATAATGTTCGACCTGTACTTTATATTTGGTCAAAACAACCCAAAATTATAGTGCTAAAAATGTATGCAGATTACATTTAACGGAGTATAATGATTAAGAGAAATTCAACTTGTCACAGGCGTCGATGAGTGATCAGCTAGTAACATATAACATTTCGATTGGTTATAATATTTGTCATAAATACCTATGCATCATGAATTAAGCCAGAAATGTTTTACCGTCAATATAAATAAATAGTTATTTATTAGTTTTTACAATTTTAAAGAATGTGAATAAGCTTTTATAAAAATGGTGATTAATTAAAATTTTAATAACAAACAGTAAAAACATCTTATTATCCATACCCAAACTTTAATTTAAAAATGTAATTTTAATTAAAAATTCCACAACAAATAATAATAAGAACAATATGGAAGGAAATAATCTACTAAAACAAAATTGAACTGCTTATTATTTGTTATTAAACAATCTTTGAAAGTCATCAGTACAAAAACCTAAATACTGTTTTGGGAAACTAACAATAGTTACCTATTAACAAAAGACATCCAACAAAGACGGAAATCTCATTATTATTATTACTATTATTATCATCATCACCATTTTTTTATTATTTTAAAGTGAGTTTAGTTCAAAACATAGAAGGTAACCTAACAATGTTTACAACTAATGAGGAATTTAAACTCTGAAATAATAGTTGAATCTCGGTATGTATTTATCAAAATTTAATTTATGTAATCTCACTACACATTGTTTTATACAATAACAATAAGTATATAAGTGATTCATTTTTTTTTGTCGTATGAATATATCTTATATGCATTTTATAAGATCATAAAATTAGTTCATGTGATCGTCTTAAAGAGGTTAAAAGCTCTTTTTCGTAATTGAAAGGAAATTATTCAAATTCGTGTAGTTGAAAACTGTTGTTGTGTTTGTAATAAACGAACATTTGGGCAACTGGTCTTTTGAGATAATAAAAATATGGTTCCAATTGTGTGGAAAAATATAAAATTTTCATCAAAAGCATCATTAAGCATGTTATTTAATAAAATAATGATTCAATATTACGGTTTACTATCAACCAAGTATTTATTATTTTACAAATGGTTATATTTTCATGTGCTAATTTTATGAAATAATGCATATCCAAATATTCAATGCGTATTGAGAGTTTAAAATGTATGTATAGAAAAACTAAACTTCTGGGAGCATACTCGATACTGGTATTTCATAAATGAGAAATATAATGACTTATATAAATAATCAAAATAAATTGAGTGCGTTGTTGGGGATACTAACAAATATTATGTTAGTAACTATTATTTATAGTACAGTCTTAAAAGTAACAACTAAATATTTCAAAATAAGAAAATTAATTCATATTATAAGTAACATTTGCATAAGATATACATTTTAAATTTGTGTAAGTTAATTTATTTTAATTTGTTTCCCGAAACTCCTATATCTACAGTTAGAATTTACAAATTGAAATACGTTGATTATATTACCATAAACATCATGATGTGCGCATTAAAGGGAAAAATATCTGATCATTTTTAACCACTTTATTCTTACTGTTTGAAAATAACTGATTTACTCAGAATATAATTTGGTTTTAAGCACTCGTTTAACACAAGTCAACAGTATCGTAGATAAATTAATATATTACCTCAAGTGTAATCATTATATAATAATAATAAATATTAAATAGTAGGTATCTAGTCATTGACACCATCGTTTGTAAAAAAAAAAAACGACAACGAATCAGTTACAGCTGATTCTGATAATGAAATTACAAAACTAGCAATTATTTTCTACTATTTAATTACATTTTTTATTTTTCATTTTTAATCGTTTACATTTTATTTATATACTATATAAACAGATTGAAAAACAACAGATAACATGAGCGTTCTTAATCATTTATGTACAAAGTATAAAATCATACCTACTTAAAAAATAAACAAAAGAGAAAAAATATTCAGTATAATAACAACTTTAAAATTTTCAATTTGGCTAAATAATAAAATAAAAATAAAACAAAAATAAATATTAGGCAATAATGTTAATACTTGAATAAAAAATAATATAATTTCACAATGATATGAGTACCTAGCTATTATTTTTTTAAATTTTAAATGTCCTTTAGTAGGTATCATAACACTTTATAACTTAAACACGTGACAATTTACAGTGCCCGATTGACATAAATACTTTATTTACCGTGGTACTAGTTACCAAGGGTTTTATGGTAAATAATAATAATATGTAAGACAAGACTAACGTGAACTTCGCCATATCGTTTGTACGGTTTAGGTCATATAATATTATATTTAATATATAATACAAAACAAAATTGTAAATATTATTTACATAAAAAAAAAACTTAATGCTTTAACATAAAAAACGGTTTAAACGTTAAAAAATAGTAGTTCATTTTAACAATATTAATAATATTATGTTTATATTTATTATGTGCACAAAAACAGCATTGGGATTGTCGCGAGAGACATTGCTTACATTTACAGGAGCAAATTTATTGCTTAAATACGACATTCTTATTTACATTAATTATGATTCAATGATATTATCGCAAAAAAAAATATGTACATGTACAAACTGTAGTTTATTATATTTATGTATGTAATAATAATATCATATTATAGTACGCGTTAAATGTAATAATAATATTATCAATTATCATATTACTTTTTTCTTATAAATATAAATATTCACAAGCATTATAATATGAGATACTCGTAGTCACAGGGATTTACATACGTAATAATTACAATTATAATAATAATAATAATAATAATAATATAATACAATATAATTAATATAATAATAATCGTATAATTTACACGGGACAGATAGCGGTCTTCAGGTCTCCTTGTTTTCCGGAAGAGGACGAGGAGGATGATCGACTCTAGGCATTTGGTTTATGGCCACTTCAGCGGCCTTAAGACCAGTCGTTCACCGTAATCCTGTAAAACGAAACAAACGTTATTAGAATATAATCACATATTGATTGCATTACAATCTAAAATATCGTCGACGACACGTTTTGAGGCAGAGGGTGACGAAAAAATAAGTCGATGCAGACATCGCGGTAAGTGTTTTATATAATATTATAATCGTGTTTCAACAAGTTGACATATTTTATCGAACCTTTGGAGAGACCATTGGGCGTTTAACGTCGCATTTCTATCCAACGACAAAAATATAATATAACCTGTCATTTTCATTCAATATAACAGTGACGATATGGTGAAGTAAATCCATCAAAATTCAGTTTGTGCGGTTTAAAAATACAACACTTTTACGTGACGTCTGTCGTTGGACTTTTATTATATGGTGTAGTACAATACTGTAGAAAATAATACGATATCGTTGCAATGATGACCTTGAACAGGATACCCCCTATATTGCTTTTCAATCGGTTTTTCAAAACGCACACTTTTAATGGGTGTCGTGGCAAAATTTATCTCGAAATCTCAAACACTCGCTGAACGTAAACAGAAGTGGTGCATACTAATTGAGTATCTTAACTGGATTCTAATAAGATACTTATTAATTTTGAATCCCGGGTATAAACGGGAAGTATACCGATTGAGTCCCCGATTGGGAAACGAAAAATATACTGATTGAATCCTATGATTATTATGAGTAAAATATCAAATCAACAGTAGGTAAATGCTTGTACCGAGGTAACAGTCCGGGAATTCATGTATTTGTTTGAACTATTTTATTATGTTTTATTTTGAGCATCTGAATTATACAGATAATACATTTCACACATTCATCGAATTTTTCGTAGAAATGGGAAGAGACATGGGATTTTTTTTTAAGTTAGCATATGGAACTCAATTAGTAGATATGCCTATTTAAACAAGGACTCAATTAGTAGTATTATATTTTTAAATTTCACGGGACTCTTGCAATTAGCGTGTACTTTAAAACAACTCGGGACTCGATTCGTTCTAAGTGATGTCATTGAGACTCGGTTCGTAAACAGCTCTGAGAGGAAGGGGAGACAAAAAACCTAAACCGAATTTACCGTCGCGGAAGTTACGCGAAATTGCTTTCCGCCACACACATACGACGACCACCACCGTTGTCGTCGCCACGGCACAGGTACATATAAATTCAGACTTACTTGCAGTGTTGGTGCCCACACTCGTAACCTCGATTATATTCGTCGTCCCATCCGGCATCCGGTGCGAGACATACGTCGTCGTTGTCGCATCCGTTTCGTATGCACACGTCGACCGACTGCTACTGAGCTGGTGTCGGCGAGACACCGGCTAATGGCTGTTTTGCGTTGGGTTGAAACACCATGGCCACTGGAAAATGATACGAATATAATATTATAGTTTAGTCTTCGGTCATGATCTCAGGACACACGTCCAACGTTGTGCAAGGGCGTTCGTCGATTTCGACGTATTTCACACAATTTTTTCGATTGTCCCTCGGTTGATGGAGCTTACCCTCTTTACGCACACTACGCGCTTTTCAAAAACCAGCGAGTAACCGTTTCAATACCTATTCTATTAACAATAATATAGAGAACGACGAAGAATATACTCGGGACGGCTGCGGAACAGGGTAGTTTCCTACAAGTCGAATTTGGATGCAAAAACTGCAGGCGCCCTACAAACAACTCTATTCGACGTGTAATCGTCATTGTCCATTGTCGTATACTCTACAAGCTGTATAACATGGAACCTACCTACAGAGTATAGACGCCCCAGTCCCCACGCTGACGATACTATGTGATGTGTATTATATGATATTATTATATTCATACGAGTGGCCTTTAAATTAAAAACGAAATTTGTGCGTACATATAATTACATTCGTATTGATTTTATTCGACAACAAACAAACGGCAATTCAATTACTGAGCCTCATCAGTCCCCTCTATACTTATTAAAGTAGATACTGTGTCTACGTACATAGATCGATATGATATTAGGTATTAATTTCTGCACGGCGACCCTGCGCACCAAAAACCGTAAATTATATTATAACAAGGTTACAATATTCTACTTCGAACGCCGGTTTATGTTTTTAGTTTAATTTTTTCATATACATAACTATATAAAAATATTGCCTACTTTTTACAAAGTTTGACTAGTGAGATATTTTTCACGAGATCGTAATAATATTATTATAATAATATTATACAAAACGAGACCAAGCTCCGCCAACTATTCCCCCCGAATTTTGCATTTTAAAGTGACCGTTTTCAGCCACTAATCATTTTAGCGATAATGTGTTTGTCGCATTATAATAACGTCACGTTATCAGGAGGGAAGCAGTTCAGCGAGACGATTACGAGTGTGCCGATAAGCAGTGACGACGAAGCGTTCGAGTGGAAAACATTACAAAATTCGAAGGAAAACCTGTATTATTATTATTATTATCAAACGATCGTTTTGCCATTGAAAAACATTCCGAAACTCCTTCGGTAAAGGGGTGTATACAAGAAAATCTAAGCGCTGATTAACACAGAATACCAAAATCGTATTTTAGCGATTTCCAGAGAAGCGACTTATTGTCCGGGCGAGGGTGGGCTATCGGATCGGAAACTGCAGCAGCGTTCGTCACTAAACGAACGAGCGGAAACGCGCCTCGTGAATATTGTCGTTATTAATCCAATAAATCATCGAATCCGATATTTTTACACGCCGTCTCGACCGGTCGTATTTATCGTACCTACAATATTACCCTTTTCGGGGAAAAGATTATAACATCCTCCCGTTTGGACAACGATTGATCATTATCAATCACTCGTACGTCTCGATAACGCATCGTAACGTACGTATATGGGTAATGAAATACCTAATAAATCGTGTGGTCGCCTAGACAAAAATGTATACATCATACTCGCGGACTAAACATTATTGTAATAATATTATTGTTTTTGTTATTGTTATTCTCGTCGTCATCGTCTCAGGTATTCGGTTACTACACTTGTTGCTGGACTCTTACTGGTTCGCGTCTATCGACATTATTATTTAAGACGCGTGTGGCGCATATACCTTCCGTCCCCAGCCACACACACGGCCTTTACAATAAACCCGCCACTCGAGTTTCCGACCCGGAAATCGGAAGTCGCGGAGAAAATGAAATACCCCGCGTATATGTTTGACGATCCCGACGATGGTGCTGTGTACTGCACATCGCCGAAGAGCACGTGAACAATACGACTCACTGTCAACCGGCTGCAACTCAACTTTTAATAGATGTACCCATGTAGGTAAGCCCGGGTGGTACGCGTGTAGGTATAATATGGTACTCACGTATGATGAAACATTGGCCGGTGGCGTCGGGGGCTGTGACTGTTGCGGCGACGGCGGAAGTCCGCCCTGGGGATGCTGCGATAAATGGTTCAGTCCGGGCGCTACCTGGTTGTGGCTGCCGATCAGACCGGCCGTCTGTTGCTGTAAATACGAACGAAAAATATCATAATAAATATACAACATAATTCAATCGTGGAGAGGTCAAGTTGTATTCGGCGGGTGTCGACTGTCGAGTTAGATATTTCTCCCCCAACCCCCCCCCCCCCCAATCCCCACATACCATTAACCCTGTGCAAAAAAGTTGCCAAAGGCACATTTTGAAATTGTTCAGGAACAACAAACCGTCGCATGGGTGATTTTTATACCAACCACAATGTTCCATGGTCAGTTTAGACCAGTTATAGCCTTATATTTTGATGTTCAATATTTTTACAGGACTTGTAATACAGTGTGGCCATTTAGAAAATACGAAAACATTATGTATAGTATTAATTCACATTTATTATAGCTACTCATGACGTATATGAATACCCAGTAATTTATTATTAGAGGTAAACATTTATTTTTTTTTTAGATTTCAGAACTTGGATTTTTTGTGATGGGGGGAGGGAGGGAGGGGAATTAATGTCTCTAACTGGACATTAAATATAACATTATACTTTCACTTGAGCCGTGCGCTTCTAAAATAAAATATTTATACCAACAGACATACGTATATTGTTAAACAAATCAAATACTACCAACGTCAAAACTCTATGAGCGTCTATAATATATTTATATGTTAAAACATATTTTATTCACTATTTGAAAATCGCAATCTACTCGTGTATTATAATATATTTAGTTCATAAGAGTAATTTGGGTACTGACATCGTTTAATGTTTATTTATTAATAGCAATCGTCTCGTTAGACGAATCCGCTTATAAGGGTGCCATAAAGTTGAAATCATTATAAATATATACATATTAATAATAATGCCACTATATATGCGAGCATGATGATACAACAAATGAACAAATTATATTTACGTATATACTTAAAAGCATCAAGAGACGTTGTCTAGAATTATAATAATTTAGTGGTCTTTGAAGTTTTCAATATAGTCCCATACTGCCGTTTTTCAACTCATTAAAAAGTATTAAATTTGGATTGTGACCAATAACATCTGTTTAAAGTTTAATATTATTCGTACGAGTTTTTTAAAGTTATTTTCAGAACAGACCTCCTATAATTTTATATTTCAACCCGACGTTTAAAATTTAAATCACGAGTGGCAAACGGTATTGACGTGAGCATGTTATAATGCACATTGTACAATATCGTGTATCGTTTCACACAAAAGTAGGGTACTAGAGAAAAAACGCTGTATAATAATGTCGATAGGATCGCCATAACCATAACACGACATGGCGTGTACCTAGATAATGTTATCATGTTTGGTGCATTGCCGATGACCATAATATACATAATGTTATTATTATTACAGCTGGACCGGGATTTGTCGCGATCAAACGGCATAACTAATAACATTATACTATTATATAGTATTAACGTTATATACGTAGTGCTTAAAGCTGTTAACTGGAAATCACCTCCGTACCCGACCCGACCCGACCTAACCCGCCCAAACATCCGCGTAATAAAGTATAACCGAACACGCGGGTCACCACAACAACAATATCGCACTTGGAAATACAATATGTGTTTGAGTGTAAGCGTCCGTTGGATTATGACGGTGTGGAATGAAAAATTGTCGAACGATTTGTTCAGACGAATAAATGACTCCCAGTTGAACACCCCCATTCTCCCCTCCCCGTAAACGCAGGAATATTTTTGTTTACGGTGCCGCCGTTCGTATACACTTACCGATTGGTTGTGATTTTGCGGGTGGCTGTTCATGACCGGGACCCGATTGTCCATCATCATGGCGGACTTCTTGACTTGACCGTGAACTTGTGAATGTGGCGACGGCACGGACATGGGTGGCGACGGCAGGCCCGCGGGTGGCGAGTATCCGTTGTACACTCCACCGTAGCTGCCCACGTACCCTCCTCCAGCGTACATGTTCGAGTCCGGTTCTCCTCCCTGCAAGAGGACATACCGACGTGTTTAAGTATTAGCTGGTAGTCGTGTTATGACGGTCATAGGTCACAACACTCGATGCACACACGAATAATATTATATGTTTACATTTTAATATTATTATTTTAGAAACAATACAGTCGTGGGTGAGTTCTAAATCATTTTGTTATTATTTATGGTTATTCGGTACTCCCGCACCCGTTTTCGTGAGTTTACAATACATATAAATCCTCTTATCCTCTACCCTCGCACGCGCCCGAACATAGATAGACTTTGCAAACTTCTTTGCCAGGTCGGGGTGGCGGTCGTTAAGTTTTCCGCTTGTTTGAGAATCACCGCCACTGCCGCTCACCTCCGACCATCACCCCCAACTCCCCCTCCCACCAAACACACCCAACGTCACCGCCAACAGCAACCACCTTGCCACCGATCGATAAAAAGAACACGATAAAACTTGACTATTAATAATTTTGAATACTATTTTCCCAGTAAAGTTTTCGCTAAAAGTTTCCGTTTGTAAAAGTTATAGGGCAGCGTACACTATAATATAGTGTAAATAAAACGAAACCCCAATGCAAAATGAAATAACAATATTACAATATTATATTGTACACAGGATTTGATAATAATACGGTAAATTAAATACCTTCGATACAAGACTCGCTCTGTATGCAGCCAAAGCCTTCAAGTAATCCTTTTTGGCGGCTTCCGTTTTCTTCTTATACACCTGTAATCATTATAAAAGTAAAATTATTTTTTTATATCAAAGACTTGTCGTTCTGACGTAAGCGTGAAAATAAATGGCATCAAGTCATATAACAGTTAGTTACCTGTACCGTTAACTGTTACCTATGAATTAGACATTTTTTTTTAACGAACGGTCAACAATTTGCGTAGTTAGAAATTATAATTATTATTATATTACACTCGTGTTCTAAGACACGCCATTCACATTCCTTTCAATAGATAATTTTTTAATTATTGTTTGGAAATTGGAAAGTTTGGTTATCAAACGTAAAGTATCTAACCTAACTGTTATGAGAAATATTTCTGAAAAGTATCTTGTAAGCATTCAATTGATTTTAGACATTAAAATGTCATTTCATTATTTTGTTAAGAAAACCAACTTGTATGAAAATGGAATAGAAATAAAAATTTAGGTTACGGAGACCAATGCATAATAATATTATCATTCATAAGGTTTGGTAAAAAAATCTCATCATAGTGCAAATGAATTGACGACATATACAAAATTTAGGTTTACGAATGTTTTCATTTCCAAGATTGATAATAGGTGATTTATTAATTGTTTTGTTTTTCAAAATGTATAATACATTATCTTAAATTAAAATTGGTTTTTACTTATCGTTATCGTACATTCGTACCTATGTAAATAGAATCACGTTTATGTGTCACAAACATTCGTTCGCGCCTTATTGTACGAGACCCTTTTTCTTGCTTAATAATCACGACATTTCAGACAGGCGATTTGCACAAAGTCCATTCCCCCGTGTACAACATGTGAGTTGTGTGCCAGATGATGCCTAAATGAATGCAAAATCGGCAGTGCTGCGCCGAACGTAGGCGGGAACGCAGACCTTAGTGGGGTGGTGTCGAGCAAAGTTTCTAATTTAAACATTATTGATTTAAATCGCTTTTAAACGTGGCAACCCCCATTCGTGTCCTATTCAATGAGTTCACCTCTTTTCTTTCTATTGTCATAGCAAAAGCAAACTTTGCATTTAGTTATTATAAATTTGTACGGCGCACTCCCGAGGGGATCCGCATTAAAAATAACCAAATTATTGTGTACGGCTCAGGGTACTGACGAAATTGAATTCCCTAACTCTCCACGCCTACAGCGCCTCAAAAACACTGTTCGTTTTTCAATAAATGCGATTTTCGTATACGTCAAAATGTCAAGTCAAGGTATTTGAAGTTTTAGCCACTCCTACTCGGGGTTCACAGACTCCCGGTATAATATCATGTTCTCTTTTGATCGTGAGATTTACGAAACTTAGGGGGACGAGAGACAATAGCTCGTACAAATAGAGGGAATAATTATAATTATGAGAATCGTCACACTTTTCGTGACGCACCACTGAGGTATATAGTTAAAGGTCGTGTCTCGTTACCCATTACGTTTCCCACTTTGTTGGTTTTTCTCATGTTTTTATTTCCTGTCAAAATAAAAACGGTCAAACATAATTTATCACAAACGCTAATAACGTCAGAAATAACGCGTCTTGTATCCGAGTAATAAAACGTTTTACACGTGACCTCCGGTAGATTGTGTATCGGTCTCTACGATTTTATTCGGAAAGTATCGATTCGAACAGTTTGATAATGAAACGCATTACCGTCTACGTATCATTTTATATAATTACATTTCAATAATAACCGATAATCGCGATAAATTCTTAATTCGGTACACGACATTATTTTCAACGAGCTAACAGCACTCGGAAAGTTTTGATTTACCTCGATAACGATTTATTGCGATCGGATAAATGTCAATTTGTAGTCGGTGCTCGGTAGCCATAACTTCTTGCGGATGACTTTGATAGTTCTATTGGGTTTGCGAGTATTAGTTCGTTTTAGAAAGTTTTTTATGGGCATATCACATAAAACTGTATAATAAACTTGTAGTTAGCTCCAACGGGATTTAAAAATATTAACGACAGCTTGTTGATTTTACTGCACGTCTGTTTTCCGCGTTCTAACAGTTTATCAGAACGCCGAATATAACGATAACAGTTTCGACTAAATATAAGACCACCATTCGATAATTTTCTCCGCCATCCACACTGCTACTGCAGTTACTATGGTAAATAGAAGATTGAATTTTTTTTTTACATAATACCGTGATAGTCAAAACGATATAATATAATATTATGCGTATAAGAAGAAAAAAACAATAAGGAACCAGAAATTGATTTATTCCGGAAGTATCTAGTAGATTTCTCTCGATCCATTTAGAATACATACATAATATACACATGGGCCTATGAATCATGAGAATCGGGTCAGCAGATTTGTGAAAGTACTGCACTTAGTATTTTACTGTTATTAACATTTTGTTTTGTCAGTATAGTGGATATCCTAACAACCCATTTAATACAACATTATACAATTATAATGTATTATGTACACATATAATGTAAACATTTTATTTTATTTTATTTCGTTATATTATTATTATTATTATTATTATTCTAGCTCATTATGTTTAATGCAATAACCATATTTTAAATGAAATAATAATAATATATACGCATACTGTCCTAGAATATTATTATTATTCGTTTTTGCGTTTATCTAAAACCGTTAGTCGTGCACAATATTTTCGTACACATTTGTCACTTAAAACAAAATGTATAGGTAGATACCTACACATAATATTATAATGGTATTATTTCTGTTTGAACTCGTATGTACATTGTACATAATACATTCATATTATATTAGTCATTACTTGGTTATGTCTATTTTTTTATGGAGACGCGAATTTCCGGAAAATGTAAGTCCTCCGTCGGATTAATTACACAGTGTTGCACGCTACAACAACGATTTGTGTGTTATAAGTTGATCACTATCAGACATCAATACTATATTGTTGCAGTCAAAGAAATTAATATCATACACTGCAGCAGGAGCACAATATTTCAACGAACGATAGGAATGTTTACCCGGAAAAATGTGACGAAATACACGGATCCGCAGGCAGTGTACATACCTAGATGTCAAATAAGACATTGTGTTTTTGAAACAATGAATAATGTATCGGCGGAACATGCCAAAAACAGCGCCGAGGGGTGGGGAAATTAATGTTAGCATTTTCGAAAAGCTTTTCCCCCCACAAATTTAAACTATTTACAAAGACGCGTTTTAATAACGTATTTTCGTTTCAGACATACTATTATTATTATAATGTTTCTCGAAAAGCTTTGTTGTACGTCGCTTCAACATGATATTTAGGCTAATATATCACCGCAGAGTTACATTTTAACCATACACTGTGTACAAGACGTACGTCATTATTAATAGCGTTTTTCATTAAGTTCCGTTATGCACACGTAATTTATATTTGTTACGGTTACACAATATATCGATGTTCAATTAATCACGTCTACGGGGACTTCTATTCAACCAAACTATTATTGTTTGTTTTGTGTGAGTTTTTTTATTATTATTATTATTATTAATAAACTATAAAGCAATAATAGGTTATTATTCGATTTGTGTCCAAAGGACTACCAGAATACCGGCAGAATCCGGCAAATATGAATTTCTCCCACCGCTCTCTGGATGTTGTTGTTATTATTATTATTTGCAAGTTTTCGGCGGCGTTTCCTTTTAACCCGTACACATACGCAAATATACCTCAGCGTGCAAATTTACAAGTGAAAAAGCTTTAGAAATTACTTCTCCGCCGACCCACACCGCCAACACCACCACCCGCGTTCAACCCGTACTTTCATAACGTCAGCTCCGAGATTATTTATTCTATATGGAAAGAAAATAACCTCTCCATCTGTCTCTACCCTCATTTCTACACCACCACCACACAGCCGCAGTCCTTTTCGTCTCTTTCTGTTTTTCTCCTTTCAGTATTTGGTTTTATTAATGTGTTCGAACTGACTGAGGGCACTCCTAAAAATGGATTACTATTTTTCATTCGTATAGAGATTGTGTAGCTGTGAAAAACGAAACAGAACAGCGGCAGTACGCGAAGGGTGCTTTTCTTCTCTTTAAAATGTTTCCCTTTACCGATATAAATAATAAGAGAAAATGTCTGCGAGCAAGCGAGCTTGACAAGAGAAAGAATTGATAATAAAAAGGACTTTAATCCGTCAGTCACACAGAAACAATATTTCATTTACTATAGCAGTATTCGAAGGAACAAACGTTACACCGAATTGATGTACTTCTGTTTAGTTGTAAAATATTATTTTCACATCGTATAAATTTTAAGTAGCAGTAATCGTAATTGTTCAATCATCAACGTTGCAGTAGGTATTAAATATATAATATACATGGTATATGGTTGTACATGGTATAAGGTGTATGTATGGTTGTTCTACTATCACAATATATAATTATAAAATACTTTATTAATTGTGGTGCATACTCACATTTTTTGAATCTGCATCCAACGAATCCCACATGGACGCCACGATCTTGGACACTTCGCCGAAACTAGCATTTGGATTTTTACCTTTGATAGCCGCTTGGGTGTCCCGGAAGAAGAGCGCGTAAGCAGATACCGGTCTGGAAAAATAAAAATGATTTACTATAATATTATATTATTTTATCCCAGCTAACAATATCATAATAATTATATTATATCATGCAAGCTACAAAATACAAAATATCCGTAATACATATCGTGGTACCACGTATGATATGTGACAATTGTTTGAAAAAAAAAGAATCGACAACGGTTTTTTTTTCTACTTCGATGTGTCAAAAATACTGTGTGTTTAGCGTCATCGCCATAAAGATTCGTTTTATTCTATGACAAGTCTTAATATTCAGAGAATAGGACTCCAATTCAATTATATTATGCTCTCGACAGTTATAGGTAGTCAATCACGGAACAGGATAATTTTTTTTAATTACATTTTTAAATTATCCAACTTGATAGGATTAAAAACTCCCTTATAAAAAGAGATGAATATTATTGTTTGATTTATTTAATTTATATTCGGCCTGAAGTATAATAACTAATCGTGATTCTAGATTGGTTGAAAATTGAAATACATTTTTAATTATTAGGGTTCCGAAGTTTATGACTAAGAACCGGACGTTCTGGCACACTAAATCCCATTGATGTTTATATCGCATGTATTTGAACAATAAAAATGACTATAATAATGTCCACTAAAAATACTCTGCGTAATTTATTTTGTTTGTATTACTTAGACGATAAAATTAATTTAACTGTTCGATATTTTGTTCATTAAATTAATTATGTACGTTAAAGTTGTTTCGTTCATTTTTTTACAAAATTATAAACTCATATTTTATTAATATTATTTTTACTTTTATTTAAAGCGCCATTTTAAATTTTATTTATGTAATGTTTTAATTATGTTATTTCGTTTTTTTTTTTTTTAATATTCAACGTTTACAATGAAGTCATTTCTGTTTTTGATTTCCATAAAATGTTTTTCTTTATACAAAAATAACAAATAAATTAAATTATAAACATCATCCAGACTTGTTTTTGTTTGTATTTTTTTTTTTTTTTTATAATATAACGTTATACATTAATTTACTTAATGGATTTTATATTGTTAATTTATCTATATTTGTATAATAATATTTTACTACAAACTACAAAGTGTAAGAAATGAATAAGCAAAATAATTAAGTTATATTTTTATTTATTATTACACTCCCCTTTTCATTATTTAGCGATGACGAATGATTTTGGGGAGGATCCAATAGTCTTGGTGGGGGAAGTTTATACGATCAGCTTATAAGATTGGCGCCACTAATAATATTTCACAATCTCACTGCGTATGAGACTATTCCGAGTGTTATAAATAAATGCACATACAGATATATATATATATATATAGATGTGCGTGTGTGTATAAATGGTCACCCGTACACAGTATAAAGTATAGCCGCGTATAAAACAGTTTTTGATCCATATAGCACGGTATACATTAACGAAAATCAAATGATTATTTTCATCACGTTTTCGTGTTATTATAAAATATTATATGGTATATTACATTCCGCAAATTACTAACGTTGCGGATATTGATTATGAAGGAGCGGACACGGAGAGAAGTCATTCACTCATTCGCGTATGAACCCAAACTTTTCCAGAGACACAGACCCCGTTTTACAAAGTGCCCCGGTTTGTTTATAAAACTTTGTTTATCGATCGCTGCACCACACTATTACCGCACTACCTATTTCCGTTGATTCGAAACCACCACACCACTCGCATTGGACGAAAACAGAAACACAGCATGATAATATTACGTTTACTGGAAGTGTTGTTCGGAACGGGCGCCACATTATAGAATCCCGTTGGGTGCTGTCGCGTGACTGGAAATTGTGCGACGACCGGCCGGTATCGTCTACGTATTGTTATTAAGGCGATCGGTGACAACGAAAACAATTTTTTGACCACGCTACGCTGATTTATAGACACAAAAGTTCACTCAGTCCACTCCCCCACCCCCTCTTATCAACACCCGCACCCTCACCCGCAACTCATAAAAACATGTTTTATTCACCCAATCGTATTTAGGTGCTAACAATTAACGTATTATTACTAACCTGACGTAGAATAGTATGAACACAACGTTAAAGCTGAGAGATACAACATGACTATATTATATAAATACACACGCAGTACTCACAGATGCGAAAACTTTTTGAGCAAAACACGATATTATATTTTCTTCCGCGTCTGTTCGTTCGCGTAACGATTCATATTCCGCACGAGGTAAAGACGAATTTTTTTCATCGAAAAGTTTAAATGTCAAACAACTGTACATAGACACACACACACGCACACACACACACACACACACACACACACACGCACACACGCGCGAACTAACTTTAGCAATAACCCTCCCCCACGCCCATAATCATCATCCCGCCCCATTCCAAAGTAACAAAGATCAATACTCCGACGGAACATAAAGTATAATAAACTTTTGTCGGTGGATAACGAATGAGAACGTAATAGCGCGGCGGCAGACGAACGGACGGACGAGCAGAACGCGTGGACGGTTTTGAAGTTTTTGACGAAAATTACCACATTCCGGAAATAAAATAAATTATATTATGCACCCCCACCCCGGTGAGATAAAAGTTTCCGGAGAATAATAATATTCACGAGTAGTAGAGTTCATCGGAATAATATAATATCATATTACTAGGTATTATATTATCAGTCGTTTCCACTTCAGGTGTAATTATTATGTATAATGTACGTCTTGACGATTTACAACGGAACGACTACACTATACCTGCCTAACAAATTAAAAAAGTTGCCGTGCCAACTACGACTATACATATTATATTATACAATATAACTCATGCCATAATCTTGTGCACTATAAGTGGGTACACTGTCGGAAAGATTACTATTTGACGTCCATTATTATTACGACAGCGGTAACAACAACAACAACAATAAATAAAATATTCAAAAACGAAATCGTATAATTCAATACAATAAATAGGAAATTTTTGAAAAAATACTAAAGCATTACAAAAAAATCAAAAACAAAAAGGTCAGTACAGCGGACGCTTTGTATCTTGTGCGAACAATATTATTGTGAAAATAAACATAGGTACGCATATTGAGTCGGTGGAGATTATTGTGGATGAAAGTGTAGTACTACGCTGAGGAGCACCGCCATGGACTTTTTCTGACACATTTGATAGGATTACTTTAGGACTGATCAGTAGCGATGAGGGGACTCCCATTCGAGTCGAAATCTCAAGAATATAAAGATCGACTTCGACACGTGTTATTTATCTATGGACTATATTGATTGTTAGTATATACCTAGGCTATTTTAATAAACGTTCCGAGATCGATGAAATCGACTGGCTGACGCGAATGCTGCTCGCACATATTTTTTATAAATCGTTTCGATCGCGTCATGGTCGAGCTTCGACGAGAGACGAACGGATATTATGCTCTCTCGGAGAGATCTTATTGTATACGCGACACCGTGTTCGCCCTCCCATCCCGACGACGGCACAGTCTCGGACGGTTTAAACGATTTTAATTTCCTCAATAATTGATACATCGTCTTACACTTGACTCGGTCGAGTTTTTTTTCGGAATCTCCGACTTTTCGCCCCATCCTGGAAGAGGGCTTGTATTATATCGCATCGACTAACGACATTATACCTGCATGCACAGCGTGCCATGTACAAACTCACATGCAACACTGCACCGGTGAGGGGGGGGGGGTACTTATTATACACACATTTAGCGCACACAAACGTTTAATATTTACCGCAAAACCGCCGGCGTTGTGCGCTGCGTGTACGTACGTATATAATACATATAGTGCGATTTGTATTCGGTCTGGCGAGCTCGACGTCAATTTGCATTTTATAGAGCTTAAACGGCGGCGGTGGAGCTCTTGTTATTACGATAATATTGTAATGCTGTTACCTATCGAATCGGAATCGCGTATCCATACCCTGTAACCCACATATACTGCTGGACCCCATCTGGAGCTCTGCTGCACCGACGAAGCCACGTTATTTGAAAGTTGCAGCGCGTGCCAAAATGTTCGCTCAGCTTTAGGTGCGCAAATATTGGAGCGCGGCAGATAGTATGCACATTACATTGTATTGTCGTTGTTGTAACAACCGTGTATTGTTTAATATTTTGATTAACTTTCGAATTGCATAACATTATTAATGCACGCCGCCCGCCGACCGTCTGCAGGAGTACCGTCCATGTTATCATTGTCGTCATTGCTATATATCGTGCACTTGCGTATGTATTCTATAATATCGTACATGTATATGCAGTACAGCATATACGTATGGTGGTGTCCGGGCTCTCTCGATTGTAATCTCGAAGCTAATATAAAACCACTGTTCTCCGAAAACAATTCCATGTCCGTTTTTAATGATCAATTATTATCGCCGTCGGCCGCTGACGTTTTACGCAGTCGTTTTACCATATATTACAATAATAATAATATGCTGGTGTAGCGGGACGTACCCCCCGCCGCGGAGGGTGGTGAGCAAGGCGAACGTTTCAGAGACTATTTGTTATAATATCATTATTATCTTTGTCCGCGGACGTTTTACGTGCTCGGGTGGCGTACAAATGCACTCTCGAAATTAAAAACGACAAACGATATTGATTTCTCATGGCGAAACTGATATATGGCTCAGTTCGATACCGGTAATATACGGTTTCGAAACTGTTATTGAACCAAAAAAATTGACGACCGATAATATTAAATGCGACAACGGGCGGGGAATAGAATTTATTGGCGTATATAGGCGTGTTGCAGAGGGATGTCACATTTCTAATTGGAAGATCGCTCGAGATGAAAAAAATAAATAGAAATAATTTAAAACCATTTTTTATTTTATTATTATTATTATTATTATTATTATTATTATTATTATTTAAAAAATGGAGCATTTTGGTGATTGCTTTCTGAGGGGGAGATTTTCATTTTTATTTTTTAACAACTGTATTCTGAAGTGCTTGTTTTATTGATCGGAACATTTCCCGTTTTTAATATTTAAAATTATCTGATGTTATATATAAATATTTTTATATTTCTGGTACGTTTACTACCAAACCTATATTGTAAAAAAAATAAAATACATTTTTTTTTTTGTTATTTCCATATGATGACAACCCCTAATTTATATTTTAAATAATGACAAAAAAAAAGTTCTTTGGCGTAACTATTGATTTATGAATATTCGATATTGTAAAAAATAATAGTTGGTAATAATTGAAAGCTATAACTATATTTAAAATTTAAAAGAGGCAGTTAAAATGTGCAAGGAGATAAAATTATATACTTTGCCACCACTCTCTCCACACGACCAAACTTTAAACGATTATAGCCCATAAAACTTACAAGGGACGTAAAGCGCTATTTTGTTCAATATTAAAATATTTACGCGGACTTTAAATTGTTCAGATATATATTTCAAAATTAGATTTTAAATTAAATTCAAGGGTAAAAATCATATATCTAGTAAAAACATTGGGGAATTGCGAGCAAAATGTATTATTTTAATTTATTACTAAATTAAGAATTCCCTAAAACATAATGTAAGAAAAAAAATCAGATTACTATAATATTATAGGGCAAGATGTAAAAAGTGTCGGTAGTGAAGTCACTATATGCTCACGTCACGGAAACTCATTTTATTGGTTTTCCATTATAGGTAGGTACAACGTTTTTGTATCCAACAATATTATTGTAACCACGTGATTTCATTTCCCTTTTAAACTCGAAAATACAATAAAATATAGTTTACCTAAGTACACTATAATAAACTATAGTTATCTTATATTATAAATTATAATACACCGTCCGAGCGCCAGTGAGATAATTGTGTAAATACAATTATTTATTCCGTTGTGAACACAAATCTGAATCGCTCGGGAATTTCGTTTAATAAAATGTGTATTTTCTGTTATTTTTTTTACATTTTTTTGGGGGGGAGGGGGGAAGTAAAGTAGTTACGAGTATACAGTCGTTTTATGTGTGTACAAACAAGAAGAAGAGGAGGGAAATAATAGCACGACACGAGGCTCTTCGCGGAGACCGTTTGCCGGCAACAATGGCGTGCAGAGAAAAACGAAACATAAATTATTCCTAATGAGAGCTCAACAAAAGACCTCTCCGTCCCCACCCCACTATACCGGACATGTGTTTCGAGCACATATATATATAGTTAAGAAAGATCCACATAGAAGGACCAGCGTAAACATTGGGTACAAAGCGTACTCGGCTCCTGAGGCTAATACACACGGCTACTTGACGTTATTGCACTATTTGTATTTGTATTATTACTATTATTATTATGGTTCTTGTTGTTGTTGTTTTGTAACGTGTCGTTGTAAAGTCACATTTTCCGCAGTCGCGTAAAATGGTTATTTTTCTATTTCAATAATAACACATACACCCATACGTTATGGTTTTCACTATGGCTATAATATTATTGTGTGATAATATTAAACAAGTGGTATATTACAATAACCATAATAATGTACGTGTAATAACCACGGGCACTAGGTTTTAAAACGAACAACAGCAATTCTTTAAATAACCCAATCCGTAAGACCGTTTTTTATTTAGACCTTTAAATTTACGTCGTCGATCAACGCAGTCCGTTCAGAGTGTAATTAACGTATTAATAATATTATTACATAGAGTTGTGCCCCATTGCAAGGATATATTATTATATTTTCACTCCATCGAATGATTTATTAAATAATTAAATACACAAAGGAAACATGAAAAAAATGAACATATTACTGGTAATTAAAGTAATTATTTTCAAGATTTACCCTTGATAGGTCAAACATATTATTTTTAAACTGTTAAAAATGTGTGTATATAATGGCGCAGCTGTTCAAACTACAAACTTCGTAGCATTAAAAATAAATACAATTGCACACACACACACACACACACACATGATTGCGTGCGCACGCACATACACATACACCATACGTTATGTCAGGGATTCCTAAACTTGTTTGCACTTAAACAAATTTAAATACAATAATAAAGCATTTAAAGTATACTAGCAAGATGCTATAAAACAATAACCATCGAGTGGTCTACACGAAGCCGATGAAGACGCCCAATCGGCTAGTCGAGTGGTGGTACTCGTGTGAAAAACGTTTTTCTCGAAACCGATGAAGCTAATTTCGCAGGGTTCAGTAACGACGACGACGACGACGACGACGACGACGACGACAAAATAGCATTTTCACGGAAGAGCCGACTAAAACGAATGCCATGAATAGGCACATATTGAGGGGTGCATAAAAAGGGTGTAGGGAATTTGGTTTGAAAACTTCCGAGCAGCAACAGACTGCACCGGGTATTGATCCGAGTCATAACATTGTAAAACTCTCCCTTTTCGTTTACAGATAAAAACACACGCCAAATAGGAGGGTGTGTTTTGCTGAGAGTATTATAATGTATCGTGTTTACGGTACATGCTGCATGACTGCTACAACCCCGGAAATTGTCGGACGATAATTATTACACGCGATCGAATACTGTTCACCGCCGGCCACTTCGTCTTTATTCCAAGCCCGAGTTAAATAACACCAATTCGTCAACAGTTAAGGTACTCACTTTTGCGGTTCGTTGGGATCCCTTTTCTTTTTCTTTTTGGTCGGTTTCGGCTTCTTTTGTTGCATTTTCATGATCCCGCAACCATCCAACGGTTCCGGAGATAGCCTTTCCCTCTTGATTGCGAGCTGAAAAAAGAATTGAAATAAGTTACGGGTAAAGCGAATCCCACTAAGACATTTACCTATACACCTATACGTGTTTCAATGGCGAACGAAATATTATAATATTAACATTCACCCCTCCCATAACTTCAAACAAAACGTAGTTTGTTTATTTCATATTTCTCACATTTTCGAATAGGTAATATTACGTTTCTTTTGTATTATTAACGACTTTCTTTTTACTAAAGCCCATGCAAATAGCATTCAATTATTTGATAAATATTAACTAAGAAACATATATATATATATATATATATATATATATATTACCCTGGTTCCATGAAATATGTATGAGAGCACCGTACGATAATAACACATTTTTAACCCGAAAATACCGTATGAAATATGGATGTGAAAGAAATATATGTATATATTTATTTATTTTTTTTAGAGGCAATATAAACCCTACCCTTTGCATAAAATTGCATACATTATTCAAACGGAATTGCCCAGAATTTTACTTGAAAACACCTACCCATTTTTATTTCACTTTACATGACATTATTGGATTACTTTGAACACTCAAAAAACATAAACAGGAAATTGAAGTTGTGAATAACAGCAACAACAACGGGGAAAAAAATAACAATTGGAAGTTAAATTACGCTATCTAGATCCCGGGCCATGAATCCCTTCACCACGACTGAAAAAGAATCGTTTACGATCGTCATGAAATATTACAAAACCATAAAATGTGCATTGCCTGTTTGGGTGGGTTTGAATCATTAGATCGTTACGGGGCACATATGTCGTGCAAAGACTGAATATTAGCTTGACGTGTTCGAACGGTACCAATAATCACACGAAAACGTTTTAAGCTAAATTGCTTTAGTTAGTTTTTTTTTTTTAACCAGCTTCCGAGAATACCATGGCACGTAACCATTAATGGTTTCATTTCCGATGATTTATCGTGACATGTAACTTAAAAAATTGGCCAACGTCAAACACGACGACATGTGGAGGTCAAGGTGAACAGAGCACAGTAGTCGTTTCACAGGATCGTGTTTGGAGAACGGCGAGAAGAAAGAGGGAGAGGGAGAGAGATTTAAACAGTTCTCATCAATTGGAAGTTGTACTGGTTTTACCGGATCGTGTTTCTAAGAACTTTGAGTAAAATCAGTGATGATCTATTCGGAAAACCATGATTTTCTTCAACCTAATCTCTCTCTCGCAACCAAAGAAACAGTTTCCAGTCGGCAAGTTCAGATTAGAACTTACCATCGTTTGGTGCGGTGTGCTGTCATCGCTGTCGTCGCTGGTAGTGTTTATGCCTTCCGGCGTTGGCGTGGGATTGGAGTGCCGGTGCATTTCCAACGAAGGGGTCAGCGGACTGGTGGCCGGTGGTCCCATGTTGGTGTAGTGGTGGGCAGGTAGATGGGTGGGTTGTGGCATGTGGGTGGGTGGGTGCTGTTGCTGCTGATGATGATGTTGCTGTTGTTGCTGTTGCTGTTGCTGTTGCTGTTGTTGCTGTTGTTGTTGCTGTTGTTGCTGCTGTTGCTGTTGTTGTTGCTGCTGTTGCTGTTGTTGTTGCTGCTGCTGCTGTTGGTTGGACGCTTGGTGGTGCTGTTGTTGATTGGACGCTTGGTGGTGCCGGTGATACATCATGCCGTTCTGTCCACCATTCGTGGTATTCGTGTTGTTCAACGGAGTGTAACTCGGTTGAGAGTAACTGGAACTGTAATAAACATAAACAAATAGTAAATATTGTGGTACTGAAGTGTGGTATTTTGTTATTTAAATATTCCAAAAGTCCCGTTAGATAGGATTTGAACATAAGTCGGTGTTTAGTTAGACGTAATCACCAAGAAATAACTCGTTTTGGTTTTTTTTCTGGGCAAGAGCTCAAAAATTAGATGAATTTATTGTCATTTCATCATATTTTTCTACTAAATTAATGTTTATGGCTAACGTAAAAATAATTTAAAGTGTACTTCGAAATAACAATCCACATTAACTGTGCATATACACGACAGAAAACATTTATTTCTAGATAAAAATCGTTAGAGATTTTTTAGAAATTCTAATTTTAAATGGCTGTCCAAACATAACTGTAATCTATGAACAAAATCAGTGTCCGTATTTAAACTCAAAGTGCATTCTGGAGAAAGTTTTACTTCCGTCTCTCCTCGACCCGAATATAATATTGATTAATGGACTACTCGTTAATCATTGATCAGTTTTTAATTACTAAATTGATTATTAGCAAGGATTTATTAATATTCCACTAGATACTAAATCGGCTATAATGGAATACGAGTGTATTACTAGTACTATTAATACATTACATAAATGTATACACATCAAGTTTTAATTGCATTCAATAAATTATATCTTATAGATTCATCTACATTAAAATGACGTCGTGGTGAATTCAATTAACGAACGCTGCGTTATTTGTGTTTGAGTGTTTTGAATTAATAATGTTTCTTGAACTCGGGCACAGAGTTACGTAATTTGTTTGTACTGTACTACTATATTCATCGCGTAATTTTTGTTTGAATACGAGTTAAAAATAATGACTAAATATTAACTGTCGACGTAATAAATTTTAACTAAATTAAATAAAAGTAGAGAAACTTGTGTAACAGTTTAACCAAACAGTGTTCTTGTTTAATGTATGAATATAGTAAACTAGTAAAGGCAACAAAAGTTGTTCTACCGGCGTTCAACCGAACCGTTCCATCCTCCACCAAATCGTTGAGACAATTAAACTGCAAGCATATTATTTGTACACATATTACACTGTCCCTGTAACGAATACCGAATACGAGTAAAATTCGCTCTCGAAATGCGTTATCGGAGATTAGTGTTACGTTTCTAATTCAAGCCGGTCACAAAACGCCTTTGGAACCACCTTAAGTGTGTAACTGTGTACCTGGATAATAATAGCTTGACGAAAACATATATACCTATGTATACAGTTTATAGTATATAGCTATATTAGTCACATGTATATAAGATACCGACTGTAGGATAAAAAGCGATTTAGGCATTTAGGACAAAAGATTTATATTATTTACAAGATGAACGTTATTCGCAAGACTACCGATATTGCGCTAAATCCGGATCAAAGTGAAAAATGAAAATAGCGAGTTATATTTCGGAAACTTTGATTGTCATGCATTCCTATTAAGCCGCCAATGACGTTAATTGTACAATATAATATAACGAACAAGTATACTATAAGGATATAAGTAGGCAAGTACTAGAACCAATACACCTTTACGTAGGTTATAATTATTTAAAAAAAAAAAAACAATCTAGCCCGACGTATAATCGGCTTAGAACCACATACCTAACGTTCAGGCCCAGGCCGTGTTCGTGGCCAGTCAAGTAGAGTGGCTGTTGGTAAGCCGATTGATGCGAATGGTGTGAGTTGTGCGAGTTCATTCCCTGCATGCCTGTGTCCTGTGGGTGATGGTGATTCATCATCTGCTATAACAAAAAAAAAAGATATGATATTGTATTATTTCCATTATCTTCAATCTCTATAATATATATGTGACCTACGTGACATGACAATGACGACAATTTTAAATTCAAATTATATTTTGTGCAATTGGTCCGTTTTTGTTTTATAGTTTTGCAGTAATACCTGATTGCAAATATTATGTTTTATTGTTTACAACATTGTGATTATAGCTTTTCTTTTTTTCGTGTATTTTAAAAAATCATATTTATATTATTATTTGTATTAAAAATAATAAATAATAATATGATTATAACTATATTATTTTGTTTGCGAGATATATTCAAAACGCCTCGAGGGGTAGATAAAATAAAATTCAAACAATGAAATTAAAAGCAATTTCTTTGAAATATTAATAATATAATAAATTATAATTATTAAGTGCTAGGTCAACATCAATGTCTTCGAAGCATATAAAATTTAAATTGTTTTTAGTAAAAGGCAATAGAGAACTATATAACATGTATATATTATGTAAATATTAAAACTAAATTCTAAGATGTTAAAAAAAACTAATTTAAAAACATAAATATTAATTGATTATATTATCAATATAAGACGAACATTAATTTTTCAAATCTATTGTATTCGTCTAATAATTATTATTGGTACATAAAGAAAGACATTTTACAATATTACCCCATCATGATAATAATATTCAAAAAGATTTATCGTTATTGTTATTTTAACTTTTTTTCGGAGGAAATTATGAATCTTGCGTCAAAACATTAGCCTTCGGCCATATAACACTATAAATAAAGAAACAAAGTTTAAAAAAAATAAAACGATTTGCCTCATAAATATTGGGAGTGACATAAAGAGAAAAAATCGTAGTTTTAATGTGTTAACATACATCACGGCGGACCGTCCGTTTAAAGAAAACCAAAGATAATAAATAAGCGCATTTATCAAAGGGAAATTTCCACCGTATGACGAAATTTAATAAAAACACAAAACCAGTAAACTCATAAATCACGATCGAATAATAATATACCATCCGTAAACTTATACCATGTTGGTGGAAATAATTTTAAAAAAATGTTTGTAGTCCGATCGATCGGATCGGCCACGGCGATTGGCGAACACATCCTTCGAAGTCCGAACCGACTAATTGATAATAATATTCTGATCAATTAAACGTACACACATAATATTATCACATCGTTTATTCTATATATCTGTGATTATTTATATTTGAAATACAATAATGTTTTATTTAAAATCATTGCCAATTTAAAATGTCAATCACTTGTTCAATCACAAATACCTATGTATTTATAAATCATGTTTATACATAATATTCACAAAGAAAACGAAAGTATTAAAAATAATATGGAAAATGCGATCAGCATTCCTTACTAAGCAATTGTCTACATCATTAAACACAAATATTCAAATTCAGTATTAATATTTTAATACTGAATACAATAATTCCGAGCCCCGTAACATATAGCAACAAATGCTAAACATTTTTTTAAACACTACTCACTTGACTGTGTTGATATGCCAAAGACGGTGGCTGCGGTTGCGTGTGCGAAGTGATAATGGAATCGGCCGAACCGTTAGATGGACTCGTCACGTTGTTACAACTAGGCGAGGTGGTCGAGTTGTTTCCTTGATTGCCCATCGACGGGATGTCGAAACCCTCGTCCCCGAAACTCGGCGTGTGAAATGTCTGAAATAATTAAAAAAACACGTTTAAAACTATTATCGTAAAATGCTATGAACAAAAAAGAATTGTTGATATTCGTGTGATGAACTAAAAATGTAGTCGAGGGCTGATCGAATTTAGCTTTCCGAAATCTATTGGATCCCGCCACGTTTTGTACCTCGTTCTCGACCATACTATTGGCAATTGGGTAGCAAATATTATTTGTCCAGGTATTGTCGGCGCTGGATTGGGAATTCGATTGCGCATAATCGTTTTGATATTAATAATACATATTTTTTTAACATCACTACACCGGGATTAAACGACCATTTTTACCGTGCTACTACCATTGAATATATTATACCATAATATATATTAAAACTATCTATTTTGATGTAGTTTTTGAAAACATCACTAAGTCGCATCCTTGTAACGACATTCTATTAATATTGTCATACAATTGATGTGATGTTCGGAATGCATTTTAAAGACTAGTCCAGACGATAAATGTAATAAGTATCGCAGGCGTTAGGCCGCTTATGTGGGTTATAAAAGGCTCACCGGACAGCTATTATAATGTTAAACTAAAATTGACGTGCTCGCCACTGAATTGTGGAACTGTATTGTAATTTTAAAATCATTTTGGAGATTCCTGTAGGGAAAGAAAAAATGGTAGTCTTCAAACAAGAAAAAACCAATCTAATAAATAAATATTAATGGGAATTATATCTAATTAAATTTAAACTTTTCGCACCGGCGTTGAATTATGGCTCCAGACGACAGTAGTGGTTCGAAAAAGTTACTCACAGATTCGTTTGGAAATGAACCATATGTTTATTAAACGTTTTACGAGTGCTCAGAAACATTTTCTTAATTAAAAACGTAACCACAGAGCCAATAACAATTTATTTCAACCTTCTACTTGTAATTAGCGCTCCGGGGCAATATAAATTTCTATTCATGATGGTCTTTTGTTTTAAATTGCTATTTGCTTTTTCTCGTTTCTGTATTTGTTTTAAATTATCTGCCCTTCCCCCCTGCTACGCCTACCCCGCATTCGTTTATTTTTAAAGTGACTCCCATAATTTGTTTTCCTTTCAGCCAACAGGCCATCATGTTTTATTGATTTTTTGATATTTAATTTAAAATCATATTTCATAATGCTCCACGAGGCTTGTTAGTTATTAGGATTCAAAATTTAACAATAAAAAGTATATATTCATTAATTTTAGTACAAATGCACTAAACATAATGGGAATTATTATTTGTGAATTCAATATTATTCAAATAAGCTTAAATCATTTTGACAAGACCATCTTATTCTGTCAATGACGTACAACTAAATTTTTAATGACCAATTAAATTCTTCAAAAGCACTTAAGCTAACTAAAATTAACCTGACAAGACCATAAAATGTATAGTCTTTAAAATGTTAACATTTTTGAGATCATATAAAAGTTTCATAAATTAAATAAAGCCAATGAAATAGGAATCATTCTTTATTTCAAATCAAAATCGATAAACGTGATCATTAGGTGTTACTCGCGCTAGGCTTTTATGTTATCTGTAAAGAAAACTGCTTGTAAAAGAAAAGTTGGTATCCATGAAAGGACATCGTTTTCATTTGTAACTTTATAAAACTTTTTTAACAAAACTTCTAACATTTTCTCGAGAAATTGTATTCCCGCAAGACGGAAATTTAATGTTGTTTTTGCAAGAATAATACATAAATAATAAACACGCAATTATGTTTGTACTTGGAACATAAAAGAAATACTAAATATGATCTCCTTGAATATCTCAACCATATATATATTAATGTTCCTTTTAAATTGTATTCGAGTAACATTACGAACGAGTGTGTAATATTTTTTAGACAAAGTACAAACATTTTTGTACTTAGAATTTCACGGTTACATGTTTTTTTTTGTGTAGTTATAATAAACAAATAACATTTTGACATAACAGAATAATCAAACCATTTTTTCCATACGTCTCAAAACATATTTTTAATTAAAAAATTAACGAAAAAAACTCTTTTCGAAAGAAAAAAACATTGTCAATTAACACTGCGACACAAAAATGTATATGACTATTTTCAACAAACGATCGTCGTTTGTTGCATATATATAACGTAAAACGAAACACCGGGCTGTAGCGACCAGTTGGACGGGCAGAGTTAATGAAGGATCAAGGTCGAACGCGACTAAAGTATTAATGCTGCTTGAGATAATATTATTTGATTGTATTTTTTTGTTTTTTTTTTTACTTACAGTCGAATATACCACCGTAATATTGTGTAAGATTTTATGTGAAGCACTGTCGAAATCAATTAATACTTCTTGGGGACCTCGAGCTCCTGGTCCTAGGTATATGATCTAAACCTCACAGGACACAGGTACTGCAAGTACATAATATTACGTATAGATTAAGTGTTAAGTGTTAAGTGTTAAGTGCTTGAAAATTCAGCAAAGGACTCCACCGAAAATAATCGTAGGTAATACTTGATGATGTCTACAACGTGAATAGTATAATATAATATTGATATTGTTGTTGTCTTAATGGTATTATTATTATTATTATTATTATTATTTCGTATGGCTAAAATGAAACATTCACAACCTAACATACTGCAACATTATAAAATAAGTAAGTAAGTAAAATTAAAGATAAATGATAACAGATTATAATATATTATCTAATATTATGGTGTTATGTGCTACCTATGAGGATGGGAAACGATGAAACCGATCAGCCGTGATCGGCGGACACCAGTATAGGTCGTTGGCCACGACCACGAAACGCGTTCATTAACCAGACACTATTATTATTATTATTATTATTATTACAGTTTTTATTTTTAATAAATCTTCCATATGGCCGAGAAGCCACAAGATCGCGTGCCCACATGGCCGGAGATGTTTCTCCTACTGTTCCCGCATGTTTGTTATTATCATCGTCACCGCACACGAGTGTGTATTAATGTCCATATTATAATTTATAATAGTACCTACGTGTAACGTTGGGTGGAAAATCATGGGCTCCAGTCGTCGTTGTCGATTTATATTTTATTTTTCGTTAATTGTTTTATCCCGAAACGTTTTCAAACGAAAATCATACATTACAACAACGATTGTAGGACCGCAAATAGACTAGAAGAGACTTTTAAGGCGGCGGTGTGCATTGTGCAAGTACAAAATCAAGATAGTCGGTGTGGCGATTTCAGACCGTCATTTTTTAATGACCATCGCTTTCCTTTGCGCTTTACAGCTCCACTGCACAACGAAAATGCTTGCATACAATAACGAATTGATCACACCATTATTATACAGAAAAACAATTATTATTTTATTTCAACGAACCTAGATTGGAAAAAACCTTCACCACGCACAACTTCTAATTAATTGCCAGGCGATTTATTTAACAATAATTTACGTTAATACGAAATCGTGAATAATTTATAAGAATATATATTAGTTTTTTTTTAATTAAAGCCATTAAGTAAAAACACTTGAAATAAAAAAATTAAAAAAATTCCATGGGAATTATATGATACTTGATAACCTTTTTGATGAACACTGGTGGTAAGCAAAATATTCTAATATTTCAACAGCTTAAAATGTATTTTTATTTCCATGAATCAAGGTCAATAGTTTTGTTAGGTAAAATCAACAATCCATCCTGCCGACAATAAATAAAATAATAAATATTTTACTACCTTAAACATTTATACGAATACAAATATTAAACACAATCGTCGTGATTATTTAAGAGGTTATAATTGTTTGTTCTAACTATTGTTCAATATGTTGATTAAGTATAAAACAAACCTATACGTACTCATTGGTTGGTTATTTCTATCGAGTAATTTAATGAACATAAATTATGTTTATTCAGGTGACTTCGTTTATTGCATTTACAGTGAGATTGCATCATCTTAGATAAAAATGTGTGTTTTTGAATATGTAATATGAAGCTTTGTTCTTAACTTTGGTTTTACAGCTGCGTTCAGTGATAACACGTGGAATTAACTAGAATATTTTATTGCTCTCGAGGCTCGTAAAATGTAAGAAAAAACTACTCGGGGCGTCAAATGTCGGGGAACAAGATGTAAAAACTGGTTTTCATTTTCAATATTGATATATTAGAGATATAATATCTATTGAAAATACTTTTGTGTTAGTTCACTGTATACGTCCAAAGCAAAAACTACTTAAAACGAGAAAAAAAAATCTTGTTTAACAATCTATTTAAGAAGGGTTTGCTCGATACAAATCTTGACAGTCACTTTATTTATAAGCATAATATATTTTTTTGGTTTTATCGCCACCAAATTATCTACCTATAAATCGTAACCTGCACGGTAGACTTAACCAAATCCTATTGGCGTACTGACGCATCTCCTTCCGGTATTACGGGTATCCGTTGTCACATTTCTTTGCTTCGACCTCCGCGACACGCTGCAGGCGGAGAGTTATACAATTTTATTACTCTCCATTACCTATCCAAAATCCTTGTATTTCCGCCAGTCCATCGAGAAAAAGCTATCGACTATATTATTGTATTTTAATAATAGTGAGATGATTAAGGACGTTTGTTGGATGTTCTAGTATAATTGCATATGAAAGTATTTTTATAAGCTGTTGATTTAAAATCCAGAAAAATACTTGCATTTTAAACATTGACAATAATAATAAATTAAAAACATTGGAAATATTTAAAAAAAAAATAATTATAATGAAATAAAAATTCAATAGACCGTTGATTTTGAACTATGTACATAAAAATGAAATAAACCGGTGAAACAACTATAGGTACTATAGTAATCATTACTGTCATAACTCATAATTAATGTCAAGAATACTAATTATCGGACCGATAGTGAAGTGTGTTGAATTTGTTTTAGTTTTTTTTCTTTTTCAATTTACTTTGTGTCCTGACTCTCCGGCGTTCACATACAGATAACGTTCAGCAGGATTAATGGTTCTACAGAGATAAACGAGTTGTTTATTCTTCGCGCAATTGTTGAATAAATAAAATCATATTTATCTTGAACTGTGCAGCGGTGAACGAACGATAGAATATTGTTACACATTTTATTATCTTAGTGGGCTGGTTTAAAGTGTTTTCTCGGAATATTAGGTACTAGTGCGTTTATTTAAATAAAGAAGAAACGTGTAGTAAAGAAAAAAAAACGATAAGTGCTGGGAACAGTGGGAGAAGGACAAGGGGTGTAAAGATATATTATATATATATATTATATAGGTATACTATGTGTGTAATGAATTACATTCCATGGCCAGCTGTTATACGTCGGTCCGTCTGGCCTCTTTGTATCCTAATTATCATGGTGTGTGTAGTGCATGAGAGGTATTCAAAAAAATACGGATAAGGATTTCGTAAAAACCAAACAATATTCGAAATATTATTACTTAACCTGTAAGACATTCGTTCGGCAGTAATGTTCCAAAAAGCAAAACGATTAATCACTCAGTCCCGACCGTATATCAGAAGGGCGTTTCAAAAACACGATTATATGCGTCACGTCGGAGGGGGGAGAACCAATAATAATAATAATAATAATAATAATGGCTAATTTCAGTTACTATATAATATTATAATGTTTAATACTTATTCATTTGTTTTCGTTTCTTTTCAAATATTGTTTACAAGAAACTGGTTCGCCAATTTATTATACATTTTGTTTTCGTAAAACGATACAAATCGCGAAAGATGCGTTGATAAATTTATGAGAAGACAGAAAAATCAGCATACAATGGCCTCATATTTGTTGAATAATTCAACAAATATCTTTCTCTCTCTCCCTCCCTACCTCCATCTCTCTACTTTGCCCTCCCCTCACCCTGATCTACATTCCCCGAGCACCGTGGTAACACTTTTTTCCCTCCTTCTTCAGCCATTTTATTAAGCATTCCATTAAAATTTATGACTTTTCTTTGTAGTCCAGTCTACACACACACACACACACACACACACACACACACACACACACACTTACAATCTCGACTACTCGAAAACAACTACAACACACCAGGTAAGGCTACAACGCACTCCATACAGCAGCCATCCGTTCTTCCCCCAAAAACAGACTGCATCGTCATATTCTCCTTCTTCGTCTTTATTCTTCGTACGCCAAAAGTATCAACAAGTCTCCGCTGCTGTGTATAGGTGGTACACAGCAGCTGCACAATATATTTTAGGCGACAGTACATAGATTTGAGTGAACATAATAATATATAGGGTAATATCAACAAAATATCGTGGTCAAATACATCGTCCGATTTTATCGTTAAAAATTCTCGGACGCCATGCAAACCGCTTCAATGTGACATTATTTCTGTGATAATTTAAACGTGCAACGTTAATATTGTTAGTTCGACAAAAAATATGGCTTTGCTGTGGTTCTATGTATTCCAAAAGTAATATTACAAAACACTAATCGCAAAAAAAAATAATGCCTACTACCATAAAATATCGAGTATCATAGTGGATAATATTATTATACCATCCCAATCACTACCCACCAAACCGAGCCACGAATGTGAAACAATATGTACATAATATAATAAATAATAATTAATATTGCAATAAAAAGGAGACTCACGTGTTCAGCCATGCTTGTGTAGTGGTTGTTGTTGTTATTATTGTTGTTGTTGTGCATGTTGTGGGCCACCGATAGAGACAAGTCCAGGTTGTCGGTCCTCTGAAAACAAAAAGAAAACAAAAAAACGTTTAGAATATCATTGTCGTATGATATAATATATAATCATCATCGCAGTGCTGTATTCACGGCCGAAAACCGTAGACGAACACACGATTTTTACCGAAGGGAGCGCGGAATAACGGAACGTTATAATAATAATTACTCGGAGGGCAACTGCTGCAGCGGCAGTCGACAACGTGTCTGAGCAGTGGTTCTCATCGTGTGTGACGTTGCTCGCCAGAAAACGCGTATTTTACAAACCTATCGGATTTTTCCACTTACTGTTATCATCGGCCATCGCACAGCAGCTCCCCCCACCCCATACTACAACCACGGCACCTTCCCCGGAAATGTCATCTCCGTTGAGCGTCTCAATATTCGAATCTTACCCACAAATACGACAAGTACAATATAATTGAATGTTAAATAATAATTACTAATTAGTAATAATTAGTAATTACTGTCCGAAACCGATCATCGGCATCGATCTCATACGATTATATGGGTACCAACCCGGGCTTACATTATAATAATAGTGAGTATACCATGACACCGTGTGGCATGGTCGTTCCGCATTACGTTAAATAACATTTTATTACATTGGGAATCACTGTCGAAATACGAAACCCGGGAACGCCGCACACGGTTTAATGATTTATACCGATAATAAATCAAAACCTAGGCAGAAGAAAATTACTATTTAATAATATATTATACTATTATAATTACAGGCACAGCGAACAATGTACATCTAATTAATGTGAAACCGATAAATAATTATTGTGATATTGAAATGTAAGTACGAACATGTATGTACCGTTGTGGGACGTTACGCCTTCACGCGTAAAGGGTAGAGCAAGGTGTATACCTAATGAATCGTATACACTAAGACCAAAAAAAAAACATTAATTTAGGGTTGTGTTATTGATTACATTGTCCGTACCTTAAATATTGTTTGAAAAAAGAACTTTTTACGTTCAGAACAATGGTATGATAATTAATACACAAAGTAATTATTTTATTATTCATTAATACGTGTGCGTTACTTCTGAAACATTGACAGCGTCACACATAGTTAAATATATGTTGGTGTAAGCTTAATTGACCAGAAATCGATTATTTTGGTGACTCCGACAACTGCCCGTCATATTTCATGTTACACATATTGTGTATCGCGTCTATAGACGTTCCACGACAAATACAAAGCAGTGTACTTATCGTTTAGACGGCTTAAAGATTGGTGGTGGTGGGAGGGGGAGGGAGGTGGAGTGTGGCGAAGAAACAATATAGTTCCGATCCAATCAAAAATGTTATTAATAATATTATGTTAATATTATTTATCGGTAATTCAGCAATCGTGTAATGGATACATGTCCGAAAAGCGTATCTGTTATTAAATTTCGGGTAATAATAATGATAATAATTATCCGTGACGTCCGTCCTTCGGTCACTGCGGCGGAGGACCACCCAAACAACTACACCACAACGTCCGCCCCGCGACGTTCCCTGCAAACGGTAGACTGGCGACGGACGGGGTAAACGGCGCAAACACGCGCCCCGGACAAAAGCAAACACGAAAACTAGTTTTCCACGTCAAGTAAATGTCAAATAAGCTCGGCCGTTGTAAATACCACCATTTATATATATTATTTTTCTTTTATTTACAATTGTCTCGTTTATTACCCGACCTCATTGTCTGCGATCTGCCGCCGCCGCCGCCGCCGCCGCCGCCTTCAATTTATTTATTTTATACCGAACAATAAAGAACCGACTTACTCATCTATCTCTCTCGATCCATCCATATCTCTCTCACTCTTTCTCTCTCCCTCTCTCTCTCCCTCTCCCATTCTCCCTCGCGCACTGTATCCGTCTGTATCTCTCATACACTTCGTCCTCTTCATCCTTCGCACATGGCCGTTACCCTTAAAAAAAAAAAAAATACTCCACCCCAGACGTACCTATATTATTCTTATTTGGAAAATACAAGGTTAAGAATTAATATCAGACCGCTCGTAATTGATGACGTACCGGTTGATCGTTTATTATACCCACTGCTGCGGCAATGTCGTATATAAATAATAATACAGTTTATCCTCCCCGGACGGACGATGTGACACAACGATTTAAATTGCACCTATAAAATATTAATCGAATGTGACCGGACAGGATATTGCTATTTTTTTTTTCTGTTAGGTATTTTTTTAAATTTTTTTTTTTTAAGTCAACTAAAAATCTAAAACAAATGAGTGTCCCGTAAAAATATTGCAATAACGTAGTTATTTCACAAGTTCACCTAGCTTTATTGTAATTCAGTATATATACGACCTAAACTTTTTATTCTTTCAATTTATAAAAGGATTATTGTAAAGTTTCTGCGAAACTAACGAACGACTTAAAGAACACTCGTGCAGTTTAATTTAACTTTTTAAAACTATTACGGCATAATATTTATCGTGTGATGCACGGGAAATATATGTAAATATTCCCCCGCGTTATACTCTGCTCCTCTGCCGAATGTTTTATATAAATAAATAACCCACCGTCAGAGGCAATTAAATCGCTCTAATGGGCGAAGATGGCGGCGGTGCTGTAATGGTGGGGAGGGGGTGTTGAGGAGGAGCGCTCCCCAAGCAGTATTGATTAAAGTGCGTATATAGAAAGAGATTCGAATCGGCTTAAAGTATACAGCTGTGTACAAGAGCTAAGAAAGATTGAAAGGTACTGATGCGTAGGTAAACAATTTTCCCCATATTATTCGTGGTAATGATTATTTTGAAGAAAAAGAAAAGATTCGTACATAATAAAAATACCTATTAATCGGATTAACGCTCGCACTCATAAACCTCTTATTTTTTATAAAACTGAACAGACTGTGATGATTTTTTTCCACACGTAAATCGAAGTATATTGTATTACAGTTGTATTACACTGCAATATTGTATTTTTTTTTAAATTTTCATTTCAGTGGTTATTTTAACGTTCTAAATTCCGCATATTGTACCGTTCACTGGACGTTTGCAGCATTATTATGATGATGGTTCACAAAATATACAAAAAGAATTTAGTAGGTAAGCAAAATTATGGTGAGGAAAACGAAAAATAAAATCATGTAACACAGTTCGTTTTAATAATAATAATATATACATTACGTTACCGGACGAATGATATTGCAGCATACTACATTATCATAATATAATATAATATAATACGGCCATTATTGGAAGAAAAAAATCGTCACTCTAATTATTACTAAAACATAGGTATTATATCGGGTTAAAAGTCGTAAAATCTTAGAACGTAAACCAAACGGAAAAAAGTTTTAATGAAAAATGCTAAACATGTTTTTTATATGTAATATATATATACATTTTTATTAGGTAATAAAGTGCAGCGCGTTTTCCAGGAGTATAGCCTATTGTTCGGTACTATTAAAAAACGCACTCCGTATTCCTATATAATAATAATATTACGCATCATATATACATACATACACACAATAATATATTATATTATACAGACGATTCACATTGAAAACTGGTCGGGGACTAAACGATTCACGTTTAATTGCGTACGCACATAAACACTCATGTGCGTGTGTGTTTATATTTGTTTATATTATTTACTTGGCATTATTTTAATGTGTTTTTCGTCGTACCGATAGTAGGTAGGTAGTTAAAAATATTGTCCCCGCCGACATGGATATATGTGCAGTAGGCACACACAACGGCAATATCATAGTAATATAGTGGAAACGATATTACACATTATTATATTTAAATGTATATTGTAAATAGCGTACTACATGTAAGTCGAATTGTTTTGCTTTGTTTTCAGCCATATTCAGCATGTATAATAATATGTGCAATACAATTATTATGTGATTATATTATGATAAAAATATGATAACTCTCGTCACACGAGTTCAACTCCCACAAGTTTTCTTATATAGATAATCATAAATGTGATCGTCGGTGCTAAGATTGTGTTTTTCGTTTATTATGGTGTACTTAATATATATAGATATAAACATTTGTATTGTGTGTATATACCCTGTGCATATCTGACTTCGTCAACCTCGAAAGGTTAAGTATAGAACGTACATATATAATCAGCACATGCGCAACTAGGTAGATTTGCATATTTCTTAAAAAAACTACATAATATTCAAAATCTGATTTGACACAATTTTGTTTGAAAAAACATACGACTCAATTCCAAAAATGTAGGTATGTTGTATATTTCTGCATATTTCACAAAAACTAAGCAATTTTGCAAATATTTAATAAGATTATACATAATAACGCATATTTTGTTAGTTAATAAGCAAAAAAAAGTGCAATATAAAATAACGAACTTTCGCGCACCACCATGGTCATATTTATACTTTGAATCATACATATATTTAATAATTATTTTTTTATTGTGTATAATATATTATTATATTAATTAATATACTAATATTTAAAGTATAACTAAAAAAAAAATATTCTATTTTAATAATATTTAAAAAACATGATCCACATTTTTGCATAATATTATTACAGTTTTTGAGTAGTATTATGCATTTTTTAAAGTTTTTCTCGTATAAATACATATTTTATAAGACAATTGCATATTTAAGATTTGTTAGTGCACATGCATTATGCATTGTGCACTTGGAACATGTTTTATTATTTTTTAGTGCATAAAGTTCTAAGCCTTAGTGACGATAGTACTGTCCTTTTATTTATTTGTGCAGTTGATATATTCCTTCATTCCCGCGGATGACCGCGATTAAATCGATTGGCGTTCGTTCAAACTCCGTGTGCTCTATTTATTGCAATACTAAATGAAAAATCCGTCCTGCAATGAGCACAATATGATAATATATTATACAATATGTATATTGTGTATTACATTTGCTTTACTTTCTCGCCGATTGCGTCATTTGAAAAATATCTATAATATATTATATTATTATTGTCCCCTGTACAATGAAATATTATTTATTACACGTTTTC